CCCAGCTACTCAGGAGGCTGAGGCAGGAGAATTGCCTGAACCTAGGAGGCGGAGGTTGCGGTGAGCCGAGATCGCGCCATTGCACTCCAGCCTGGGTAACAAGAACGAAACTCCATCTCAAAAATAAATAAATAAATATAAATAAAAATAAAAAAAATAAAAAAAAAACAACACTTAATATGTGACTAATTTTTGGACTATGTATCACTGAAAAAAAGAATAAAATAATCAATAAGTGATGCTGAGATCATTGGTTACATACAATGGTCACTGGTTATATACTACCCCATGCCAAATCTAAGAATAATCGATTAAGCTAGATTAAAAACTTAAATTTGGATAGCAAAACTCAAAACATTCAAGAGAAAAGTGTAACAGAATATCTTTATTATCTTAGGAAGAGAAGGATTTCTTCAGGACATAAAAATATACATCATACAGGAAAAATACTGGTAAATTCAATTACATCAAAATGAAGAATGTCTGCTGATCAAAAGAAAAAGTTAAATGACAGCCTCCAACTAGGTGACAACATATAAACATATAATAACAAAGAGTTAATATACAGAATTTTTTGAAGAATTCTTGTGAATCAAAAAAAAAAAAAAAAAAAAAATGGTAAAAAAAAAAAAAAAAAAAAAAAAAAAAAAAAAACCCATCAACTGGTATTTTATATAAATAAACATGTCAGGAGCTCTTAATAAAATAAAAAAAAATCCTAGTTAAAAAATGTGAGACTCTTTAGCCAGGTGTGGTGGCAGGTGCCTGTAATCCCAGCTACTTGGGAGGCTAAGCCAGGAGAATCGCTTGAACCCAGGAAGCAGAGGTTGCAGCGAGCTGAGATCGTGCCACTGTACTCCAGCATGGGCGACAGAGTGAGACTCCGTCTCAAAAAGAAAAAAAATGAGAGATTCCATATAAACAAAGTTCAAAACAGCTAAAAGCAAACGTTAAATCATTTATGAGTATACACGTGTATGGTAAAGCTATATGGGAAAGCAAAGGAATGGATAAGACAAAATTCATTATGGTAGTAATTCCCTGAGAAGTGAAGACTTTTTTTTTTTTTTTTGAGATGGAGTCTCACTATGTTATGGAGGCTGGAGTGCAGTGGCAAGCTCTCAGCTCACTGCAACCTCCGCCTCCTGGGTTCAAGTGATTCTCCTGCCTCGGCCTCCTGAGTAGCTGGGATTACAGATGTCTGCCACCATGCCCAGTTAGTTTTTGTATTTTTTAGTAGAAATGGGGTTTTGCCACGTTTTCCAGGCTGGTCTCAAAGTCCAGACCTCAGGTGATCCACCCGGCTCAGCCTCCCAAAGTGCTGGATTACAGGCATGAGTCACTGCGCCAGCCAAAGAAGGCTTCAAAGTATTGGTAATGTACCAATTCTAGGTTGTATTGTGGGTTGGTGAGTTCACAGTACTTATTTTTTTAAATGTCCATGTATAATTTATATGCTTTTGTATATATGATAAGTTTCATAAATATTAAAAGCAAGGAATTTTGAGATAAGATATATTAATATAAGGGTCACAAAACCATACAGAAGTAGCTATTTTGAAAAAATAAAATTACCTCTGACTTGAGCTAAATGAACCCGATGTGAAAATAAGCCAAGTTATTCAGTCTATTAAAAACGTAACAGATGTAGAAATGGGTTAATTTATTCAACTGAAGTTTAAATTGGAGAAATGGCCTCCATAGTTGAATAAATTTATAGAGTTCAAAAGAGTTCATTCTGGCCATTCAAGGTATTGGGGTGGGGGATCGATATTTTTGCTTGACTGGAGAACATCATTAATGAACTTTAAATGTTACAATCAAAATTACTTATAACATCTATAAAGCCAAATTTATCTTTTTATCAAAATATTACTAATTTCTCAAACAAATCATAAATTTTGAGACTGAATTCTGAATTCAATATTACCTGTCATTCCATGACTTCTCATTCTTCCCATCTTGTATTCTGCTTTCAGAGAAGGTAAAAGTGCTGCTCCAATGGCTATACCATCTAACATGGCACTGAATTTAAGAACAATAGGCTTCTTTTCTAAGCCTTCTGGTAGCTGAGGAAATTCATTTGTTTCAACAGGAGTTTGATTAACGCTTGTTGGGGTTTTTTCAGAAGGTAGTGGGGTTGCAATATCTTCTTTTACAGGCTGTGGGCTAGAAAGCGAAAAAAATAATTAAAAAACACAAGAGCTACCATTTTATTGTAGAAAATCATTAGATTTCTCAATGAAAAAGAGCAAATATATACTGTGAATAGATGTTTTCTTTCCAATATCAGATCATATTCATACTTTCTAAAACAGCTGTTAAACAATGATGATATGGAAAAGTATTCAAGAAGAAGTAGTAACAATATAATACTCCTAGAATGTTATACTGCCAAGGCAATTTATATTATTATTGCAAAACTGGGATTTAAACTCAGATTTGTCTGATTCCAAATTCTGTCTCTTAGCCTTTACACACTGCTATTGATATTATCATCACTACTTCTACCACTGTTAAGAATAACAACACCAACCCCTACAATAACAATAATAATTTGAGTGCCAGATACTGTTCTTAGTGCATTGTGTGTTTTGTCTCATTTATCTCACTTTAAGTAGGTACTATTATCTCAACTTTGCAAATGAAAAAGTCTAGCTAGAAAGTGTTTGTGAAACTAGGATTTGAACCCAATCAGTCTGACTCCAGGGTCTGATTTTTCAACTACTACACTCTACTGACAATATGTTATAATAAAGAAAAGTTCCTTGGAATATTTTAAAACTAAAATTTAAGTAAACATTCTAGATTCCATATTTCTGTTCAGAGGAAAAACATTCAACTTTTTACTACTTAGTCAACTTTAAGCCATGACTAAACATTATATCAGAATTAAAGATTTAGATAGAAAAACTGGAAAAATCAGCTTTGAGACACCCTCAAGAGACACATTAATGTTTTCCCACATTACAGAATGTGGGAAATAAAATATAAGACAAGTTTTTAACCTTTTACATGCATTTTTTTATTTTTTTGAGATGGAGTTTCACTCTTGTTGCCCAGGCTAGAGTGCAATGGTGCAATCCTGGCTCACTGCAACCTCCGCCTCCGGGGTTCAAGCAATTCTCCTGCCTCAACCTCCCAAGTAGCTGAGATTACAGGCACCTGCCACCATGTATATTAATTAGTTTTTGGAGACCAGGAATAAAGCTCAGCAGTGAAGATGCATGAACAAGGTTATAAACACAGGGAATAAAGGTTAATGCTCAAATTTACTGTCCTTTAAAATATTTATGTGGCATGGTCAAATGCTCCCTTGGGGCATAAATGACCACTACTATACTTTCTTAAACCTGTGCAGTCATAAATTTCAATGAATTCAAAGTAAACAAGGATTGATATGATCCTGGAATTCATCAATTTGCTTTTTATTAGTACCTGTTGTAATACACACAGATCTTTAGGATCTCTTAAGTTTTGTTTATGCAATATGGAACACTGACAATTGCACTGATGACACTGTACTTTAATGCTATCAAATGTTATTCTCACATGATCACGACTGGCTAGTCTCCACTTGCTCCACTGTCCATAATGGTCGATACTTAGAAGTAACTCTTCATCTCCCTCCAAACTTTTGCTAATGCAGCAAAGAATACCCTGAAGTAGTATATGTAATCACAGAAAGTTAACAAATAAAATAACTTACGCTGTAGAAGGTTGTCTGATTAGGTCTGAGATTTGTTTAGATAGTTGGTGAGAACTTCGAACCATCATGCTATGCAAGGTGGCAGGGTGCTGAGGAATGTTTATGCTGATAGCTCCTACTTTGAACACGGCAGCATTGTTTGTCTTCAGCCCTCTCTGGGCACTGTAGAGGGCTTGGGACTTGGCAATACTACATTTCACTACAGTTCTATCAATAGAGAGAAAGAGGACCATTAACATACAGCCAAGTAAAGAGAAATTTTGAAAAAATATTGAGAGCAAGAAAAATACTTATAAATTTGAGAGGTCTTCAAAAAGTTCATGGAAAATTATATTATAAAAAAGCTATGTGTAGATTTTAGAATCATTTTGCACCAAAATAAACTCATATTAACTTGCTAAAACATCTGAACAGGATCTTGTTTAATGTACCAACAAGGACAAGACATCAGTTTGACAGAGCCCCTATCAAAACAACATTAATTCTGCTAAAATTGAAGCAAGAACAAGCATCAAGTTTATTGTGAAGCTTGGGCAGAATAACAAAATCACTGATGCTTTACAAAAAGCCTTTGGGAACATTATCCCAAAGCAATTAGCAGTTTACAAATGGATCTTAAGAAGGGACAAGACAATGTTGATGAAGTCCACAGTGGCAAACCAAACATCAATTTGCAGAGAAAAATTTTATCTCCTTTGTGCCTAATTGAAGAGGACCAACAATTAAAAGCACAAATAACAGTCAACACCACAGACAACTTCAATTAATTCAGCTTACACAATTCTGACTAAAAATTCAAAATTGAGCAAACTTTTCCATTCGATGGGTGCCAAAACCATTGTTCCCAGATCAACTCCAAATAAAAGCAGAGCTTTCAATGAAAATTTTAAATAAGTGAGATCAAGATCTGGAAGTATTTCTTCAAAGAATTGGAATAGGAGATGAAACATGGCTTTACCAGTACAATACTGAAAATAAAGTATAATCAAAGCAATGGCTACAAGAAGTGGAAGTGGTCCAATCAAATCAAATTGGATCAGTCATGGCTGGGCACAGTGGCTCACACCTGTAATCCCAACACTTTGAGAAAGTGAGGTGAGCAGATTGCTTGAGCTCAGGAGTTTGAGATCAGCCTAGGCAACATGGCAACATCCCATATCTAGAAAAAATGCAAAAATTAGCTGGGTGTAGTTGTGCATACTGTAGTCCCAGTTACTTGGGAAGCTGAGTTGGGAGGAATGCTTGAACCCAGGAGACGGAGATTGCAATTAGCTAAGATTGCACCACTGCACTCCAGCATGGGCGGCAGATAAAAGTGGACCAGTCAAAAGCAAAGGTCATGGCAACAGTTTTTTTTGGGATGCTTGCACATTTTGCTTATTGACTTTCAGAGTGCCAAAGAATGATAACATCTGCTTATTAGGAGAGTGCTTTGAGAAAGGTAGCCATAGCTTTACTAGGAAAATGTTTGGGGAAGTTTTAACAGTCTTTCACCACAACAATGCTCTTATTCATTCATTCTTGTCAAACAAGAGCAATTCTCTAAGAATTTTGCTGGGAAATCAGTAGGTATCCACTTTATAGTCCTAATTTGGCTCCTTGTGACTTTTTTGTTTCCTAATCTCAAAAAAAAAAAAAAAAAATTAAAGGGTATCCGTTTTTCTTCAGTTAATAACGTAAAAAAGACTGCACTGCCATGGGACTCATTAGTGATGGAATAAATGGCTGGTATCATTGCTTAGAAAAGTGTTTTGAACTTGATGGAGCTTACATTGGGAAACAGAGTTTGTATTTTTTATTTTTTTCTTTTTATTCCATTTTTCCACAGTTTTTGAAGCCCCCTCATCATCGAATGAACTAAAATGACTTAAAAATTTTCATGTGTTTAGATCATATATTGAAGAAACAATGTTATCTAAAAACAGTAATGTATTTATTTTATACTATTTGCACTGAATACTATTTAATTTCTTTAATAGTACGAATCTATAGAAATAAGTATATGCTCACATGTAAGTAAAAACATGAACAAGATACATTATATTACATACACAGACACACAAATGTTTTTTCTACCCCCATTCAGAACTCTTTTATTCTCTCCCTTATTTTGGAGATTGGTATAACCACTATACAGACACTGAATGTAACAAGAAAAAAAATATTCACTATACTTCTTAAAAATCTAATTAGGAAGTCAAATAAATTAGAATAACAATCATCCACTATGTTATAAGAAATTAATAGGAAGGAAGAGGTATAACCTGCATTTTCTGCTTTTCATTTTCAATGAGTGGTGAAGAAATGATAAAACTGTGATTCGTAATGAGCAAGGCTATTACTCTTAGTTGAGAACTGGTATGCTTTAATTACTAGTACAGATATAAAGCAAAGATACTATCTTTCTCAATTTATTTTGCACTTTGCAATGCCTAGAACAATTCCTGGAAGACAACAGACATTTGCCAAATATTTGTGAAATGAAAGAGCAGAAAAAGTAAAGCAAAAGAATGACTTCTACCACTACAACTGTGGAATTCCACGGATATGATAGGACATGTACATAGAAGCATATGATAGGGCATGTACATAGAAGCCATAATGAAGTAGTCGTCGACACATACACACACCCCCACACACGTATTTGTTTTTTAAAGATGGGATCTTGTTTTTGCCTAGGCTGCAATGCACTATCATAGCTAATCACAGCCTGGATTTCTAGGCTCAAGTGATCCTCCTGCCTCCGCCTCCCAAGTGACTGGGACCACAGAGGTGTGCCACCATGCCCAGCTAATTTGTTTGTAAATTTTTTGTAGAGATAGGGTCTCATTATCTTGCTCAGGCTGGTCGCAAACTCCTGGCCTCAAGCAAACCTCCCACCTCGGCTCCAACAACTTCTAATATAAATGTGAGACTTCAAATGGGCAAATGATTCTTGATAATCAGTAAATTTGGCAAAATACACAAAATGCACATTTCGTATTAATTACAGGCCGATTTACATACATTAATCTCTGCTGGGCTACAGAAAATTGGCCAATTATTTATAGTCTCAAGGAAATGAAGAACCAGTTCATCACATTTAACTTTTCTTAGGATAAACCTCGAAAAGCCTAACAGCAGCTCTCTCTATCAGAGGTCTTGATAATAAACAGTAAAATCTAGATATTATATAAAAATCAAAACCAATTACTAGATAACTTTACTTTTTTCTTCCACAAGACACTTTTTCTCAGAGATGATCACCAGAGGGTGGAGGCAGTAGTTTATGTAATTGGCTAGTCAGCATGAAGGCAGGCTCTGGAACGCTGACTACTTACTGAATTTTGAATCATTTCTAATATTATAATAATTAAAATCATGGTTTATCATCAGTGATGTTTCAAGTTCAGTTTCAACATAAGCCAGAACATACCCAGATGGTGCTGACATGCAAATGGCTCTGTAGATGTGAATAGCATTCATCTACTGAATGAAACTAAACACACATTTACATATAGTAAAGATCATGGATAAAATCTAACAATAGAGCGGTCAACCCTCCCCATCTTAAAAACAGAATTAGAAGGTTGAGATGTACAGATGTTTTCTTATTTGTGTTTTAATAAGTATTTCTATAATTAGTGAAAACTCTTTCTTGCAAAGTGAATATTTTAAGCTTCCATTATCACATCAACACTTAAGTACCTTGATCATAGAAATTTTAATAGTAACATATCTGAAAAGACACAGCAACTCACAATTACAGTGTTAAAACTTGTCAACAACAGACAAAGTATGAATTATCAAAAAGCAGCCCTTACCTGTGTTTTCCTTGATTACCAGTAAGCTTTAATCTATTATGTAAAAGTGTCTATATTACAGCTACAAAACAATAACTACATAATTCAGAGTCATGAAAATAATTTAAATATTTTAAAAACTATTCAATACTACTGTAATCACAAAACCATGAAAAAGAATAATATGACATACAGAAACTCTTGTTTGGCTGTACTTGTAGGAGATGTAGGAAAATCCTCCAGTCTACAGATGAAGAATCAAGAGAAAGCAGGAAAAAAAAAGGAGGCAAATAAACATTCATGCACAAAGTAGTTACAATATGACCAATCATCTGGAAAGCTTTCCTAATTTCCTACTCTTAAAATGTTCCTTTGAAGTATCATTTGAACTATTTTTTTCCATTCCATTTCTTTTTAATTGTAATTGAAAATATAATACCAAAGAATACACTATGAGTTTGGGAGTAACCAGTAAATAACTTTTATTTTTCAAATAAAACAGTTAAGGGATCTTTACTTGGAGAGAAAAAAAGAGCAAGAAATATCAGCTATATATTACTTTATCAAAAATCTCTTTTATAAACATTATGTTTTGCAAGGTTAAAGACTATGGGAAGCCATTCTCTTAAGAGATAATAGAAAATGAAGAGAAGAGATCCAGGAGGATAAATAAAACACATGGGACACCTCAAAGAAATTTAGTTTACTCTCTGAAGGTAATGTACCCAGGGTACTTCAAATTTAGAGTAAATGAGGGAATCATGGAATCCATGGTCTATGACTTTCGGTGGAAGCATCTACAAAAATAAAGTGGAAGGACTATAGATTTAGGCATCTCTTCTTACAGACTATATTAAGTATTTTAGGTACTATGTTGATCTTTCTGAACCTCAATTTATTGTTCTATAAAGGTGGATAAAACCACCCCAGTTCCCAAAATTGCAATGAGGATTAAATAAAATAATGTAGCTGAGGCTCCTGGCCCACAATAGGCATTTAAAAATATTGTAATTAACATACAGTAATAACCCCTTCTCCTATACTGAATGAATAAAGAAAGATCTCATCTCTTACAACCACTGGAATTTCTTGGCCTTTCTTGAACAGACTTCTTAGGAAATGATCTGGATAGTAGGCAGCTATTATGAAATATACAGTCTTTGGTTCTACACTTATAGGTCCAAACTAAACCTGAGAGAGTCTCCAGGAAGTCTTGAGAATGGGCTCTGTCTGAGGTTGCTGTTATTAGCCAAAATTCACTACAGAAAGCTACAGCCCATTAATAAATATCCATTTTAGAAAATATTCCCCAAGATCACATTATTCAGATTAAAAAAATAGTATTAGCATTATAACATATCATACTTCTTAGTCAAGCTAGGATTAATACTTAATTTTTATAACACTGAACCAGATCCTCTATTGAGTCATGTTGGATGTGTTACAGTGTAACAGTAGCACAACATTGACTAGTCATAATATTAAGAAAGAGCAAATTCTGAAAATCTGATCTAAATTATTAAAGCCTATTTTGTAGTTAACATGAGACTGCTTTGCTGAATGGAAGTTAGGAATGAAAGTATATACCACCAATTTTAGAAAGACAAAAAGTATTTTTCTAAAATATTTTATCTGCTGACATTCTTAACGACAGAATTCTCAGTAATTTGGGAACTGAGACTGTATATACACACTCAAAATTCAGCATACTTATCCAAGGAGTTTCAAGTTTTGTCTAAAACTATAAGTGTAAGAAAATAAAAACTGACATACTTACTGTATATTTGGTGTAATCCCTTCAAGCAGCACAATATTAACCCCACCAATATGAGCAGTAGCACAAGTCTCAGTCATCTTTTGATGTAAAACATCTTAAGTATGAGGAAAAACAATATTTATTTGAATTCTGGAAATAAGAAACCTGTATTTCATATTAAAATTGCATTTTATTCATAATATATTCAGTAGCAAAAGATAATTTTAGTTATGGTAAATTTTGATCAACTATTTCGGAACTACTTTTTAAAACATTTCCTTAGTTTTTTATTTCTCTGCATTTAATACACACATATTAAATGTCAAAATTGCAATAATGCAAAATATACACTTCAATATGCCATTCCTGCATTAGTCTACTGGCATTACCTAGCCTAATGGCATTTTAAATCTCAGAAATAATACTGCAGAAAATTTGGAAAATTTTTAAAAATTTGAAAAAGAAACCACATAAACCAGTACTCTTGGTGCATATAATTCCTGTGATTTTAATGGAGGGTATAAATATTTTAATCACTTAAAAAAAATGAAATCACATATATAATTTGCCTACGTTTTTCATTTAGGATTATTGTTCGTGTTAATAAATTCTGCAATATAATTTTAATGGGTAAATTGTAAACTGGCATATATTTGTTTATAAAAATAATCAATTCCTTAATGTCAGACACTTGGCTGCTTCTTTGTACAGATATCTTTTCACACAATTCTGATTATTTCTTCAATCTAGGTTTGCAGACCTAGAATTGCTGAGTCAAAGGATAAATGTGCTTTAAATACTACTAATAAAAGCTATTAAATTAATAGCTTTACAGGAAGGTTAAACCAATTTACATCAATTTAGAAGTGAATGAAAATGTCCATTTCTCTAATTCTCACCAAAAATAGGTATTGTCATTCTTAACTTTTGCTAAACAGATAAAAAAACTGACTTTTTTTTTTATATCAACTTAGCCACCTGAGCTTTTGTATATTGTTTATGTCCTCTGTGATATTTCTAAGGAAGGTTGATGGGTTTGTATATTTCTTAGTAATTTGCCGTCAGTCCATCTAATTTTATCAGAGAACCATGTGTATCAATCCCAAGTACATAATCCTTAAGTTTAAAATTAGTTTTTGAGGAAATAATAAATGTTCAGGGTACAAAATGAAACAGGTAAAGAAGGGTATATACCAAAAAGTAGGTTCAAAGTAAGTTTTGATTAGACCTTACAGATTTGTAAATTATAAAGTTAACAATAACAGCACATAGTGATTGATAACTTCCTTTTCTCAAATCTGTCAGGTTATTCTCACAACCAGAAAAAAAAAAAAAAACAAAAAAAAACCACCGGTCTTATAGAATCTTATAGAGTCATTAAGGCAAGGGAATCTCTGCAACTTTATTGCTATAACCACCAAGTCTATGAAACATTTGCTTCTTTATTTTAGCATCTCTGAAAGTGGGATGCAGTTTACAATCAATGACATCTGACCATACCTGACAATGGTATTTTTTTTCTTTGTGATACATAAAATAATAGTGCATCTTGAAACTGGATTTAATAAAATATCATACCTTGTGTAATCATTCTTAAGATGAATGGTATGTTTTCACTAACCTAGGAAATTTTATATCAACCAAAGGGGCTTCTTTTATAGAGATACTTAGTATTAGATTATAAGATTTCTATGGTAGTAACAAAAGCAAATTTTTCATAAATTTAATTATTCTGGTAAAATTTTCACCTTTAGAGATATCTTACTCATTAATATTAAAAGACAGTCAAAGAATAAATGTCACTGAGTGTAGATACATTAGCTCAATATTTATGTGCTAAAATGTTTAGACATCAAAACTGCCTCAATTCAGTGATATTCAGCTACAACAAAGTTCCTGGTACCTCAGAATTTGGGAAGTCCAATTTTTCTGGAAAAAAAAAAAATTTGCCAAGTAGGAATTTTGGAGACATGTCATTGGTTTTCTTCTGAAACGTAGCACTAATTGTTATGTATACATAGCACACTTTATTAGAAAAATCATTCATACCTTTCATTTTTTCCTTAAGAGTAAAACTGCCATGGATCCTCTTCAGTTCTGATTCCATTGTTAGTCCACCAATATCTGCCTCCAGGTGTGTGCGGTTCACCATGCCAATCCCAAACACTATTAGAGTAACATGCTGAGGTTCAGAAGTTACCAAGCTACGTTTCCTCTGTGTCTTAGTCAAACTGTTGTTGTCTTGCTCATTCTCAAACACAACTTTACATGTTGGCTCTGTAGGGCTTCGAACTCCTTTATAAGTAAATGAAAATACACAATTTTAGATAGGAAGACTGAAAAATGGAAGGACATTCCAAACGTTGCCTTTCCTTTCTTTGCTTCACATTCCCAACCAGTCATCTTTCTTCTATTTTCCAACAAAATGATTAAAAATTTCTTCTACATTTTTCCAAGTTCCTACTGAAAGTGAATAGTAGAGCCAGATATTTTAAATGAAGTCTGCCTGAATTCTTTAAGAACATACCACGTACAAGTTTAAAGGGATGGGAAATGTGATGGCAAGATACCTGAATTCCATTACCATTTTATGGTCTTGGTAATAGACAATTTCTCTCTATTTCAATTATCCATTTACAACATTAAGAAAACATGATGAACAGTCTGCTGCTTCTTTGGTATTACAGTTACACTAAACAAAGTTTTGAAACATAAAAATGCCTGTTACCTGCTGGTCCAAATGTTTCTGAAGATTTTTCCAATATTCCCGTTGGATCAGAGATAAGTGAATAGAAGTTAAGCAATTTATACATATTCTGCCAGCACTCAGCTGAAGGTTCACTTTGTTCTGACACTGTAATTGAATCAGAGTCATCCATATGAATAGTCATGTGATCCACCACATCTTTTGAACCTTTCCTAGACACTTTTGATGTTCTTCTTTCAGATCTTCCTAGTGAATTCTTGTTTCGAGATTCCTTTTTGTTATTCTCATTGTTGGTCCGTTTGTTCTTTGCATTATTTACTCTATTGCCACCATTAAGACTTCCTCTAGAACTGCGGCTAAAGTCAGATGAACGAAAGTCCCGATGTTTTCTGGTTTTGAAGGTAGGTGTTGGAGAAGCAGATCCGGCTGTATATCTGCTAAGTTTAATATCAGTCTGAGTTGCTTTGATGTCATCTATCATTGTGCTAAACTGATGAATAAGACGAACCAAAGCCATATCTACATGCTGGCTTATTGACTGACAGGAAATAGTAAAGTTGCAGTGAAAGGTATTATAATACCGCTTGCTGAGATCATGAAAAGAAAGGGCACTGGTAGAGTTCTGAGGGGTGCACACGGACTTTTCCATTACAACAGCACTGATGCTAAAGGTTCCCAACATTAATGCTGGTTTGAACTCAAGTGGAGGAAGATTCACATGGCCTTGCCTAAAAATGTGGGGAAAAAAAAAGGGAAAAGGTTTTTCTTCTTTTTTTCCAGAGCTATGTATCTTTATTAATGTATAAGCAAAATCATCTCCAAGGTAAAATATAAGTCTTAAATAATTTTAAGCATGCAAACCAGTAGAGTATGCTTTCCACTAGGCCGGAATTTTATGAGTTCGAAGGTAGGACTTAAGTCTTCCTTTTTTATCTTACTCTAAAACTAACCAGTCAAGATCAGTCTTCTTATGTTAAGAAATGATTTCACTGAAGTGATAAAACAAGTTTTGTTGTCATTTGATGGTATTGCCATAGAGTACTGGAATTTAGAGTCAATTATAGATCAATTAGGATACTTCATTTAACCATCCCCTCCCTTTTAGATTAAGCATGTTAATCTAACTCAATTAGATATAATTATGTTAAATATCTAGTAAATCAGATACGTGGCTATATCTAATAAATATCTAATTTAGTTAGATATAACCACGTATCTGATTTACTAGATATTTAACATAATTTTATTTGCTATTAGAAAGGAAACCCTCATGCTAAGGTGAAAGAGAGGAAAAGCAATTGAAACAAAAATAAGAAATACACACACACAAAAACCTTAAAATCTGATATAAAGATTATTTTGGCAAATCTTCCTGCTTATCTAAAGATTTTCATGTAACACTCTTATAGTAAATTTTAATGAAAGTCAAAAATGTCTCAAATTTCTAGAAACTATTACAAATAAAACAATAAACCCCAAGCACCAAAACTATAAAAAGGTATTTTTCCCTCATCTTCCATGCACACTAGGAATGTGCAGACATGTAGGTCAAATAAAACATGGGAGTTTTTCTCTGAAAGAAAAAAAATCCAAAGCTGCTTTGATATTTTCCATTTAACTTAAAGAATTTATAACTAGAGAACAGTAATTCCTTAATACTAGTATTTCTTAATTAATAAGAAAAATGCCTCATTGTAGTGTACTTCACTTAAATGCACAAACTCACAGGAAGTGTACAATCAATGCAAACTAAGCATATGGTCAGAGAAGGAAAAACTTGATTTTGAGAATTAAAACAGAGAGGAGAGAGTAGACTAAAAAGAGATGAAAATAATCCATAATTGCAAAAACAAGAATCTAAAACATGTAAGGGTAGTAAGAAAATCCAAAAGAGGGGAGACTCAAGTAAAGGAGAAAAAGAAAATGGGTATACCACAATAATAATTTGCCTGACAATTAAAAGCCTGACACGGGCACTGCAGAGCCAAAGTTACAATTAAAATTTTAAAATATAAGTCCCTGATACATGCAGCCACTTTTACTAGAGACAGCAAACAGACAAAGAAACTATTATTTATGAGGACTTACTACATGCCAGACTCTATGCTGTTTAATAACTGCCCTGGCTTTACAAAGTAGTAGGAGAGTTACATATATTCATACAAGAAACTGTAACCCCAAACTAATGTACAACAATTAGCAGAATGAACAATCTGCTATAAAAACAAACAAAAAACACAGACAATACTGAAATTAACAGCTGGGTAAAGTATATTGTGGTGATGCTCTCCAAATAAATAAGAGCTTAAGATGGAATTACAGGAGATCCGAGAAATAAAAGCTAATCATGACTTAGTTGTAAGAATGTGGTGCATTTGGAGTTGGAGTGGTAGTAGAAAAATTAAAAGGAATGTCCAGTTCAGCTAGACCAAGGGCAATGAAGTTCAGAGAATCACTCAAAGAACCTCTCTAGGAACATAAAAAGACCTGTGTGCTCAAATGAAGGTCTAGTCTGTGGTGGTATTATATGACATTCAGTAGGCCAATAATAGGCTACAATTATAATTTTATTTATATAATCTATGTTTATATACAACCTACTATATATAAATTATATCTAATTGAATTATATATACCCTAGTTATATATATGAAAATTTATATACTGTATGTGTGTATATATATATTTATATATGAATGCATATATTTGTATGAAAGCTGGCTTTTGCAAATAGAAATACAAGTTTAGCTCAGATATTTTAACCCTAAATAGAGTGTGTGTAAGTGTCAATGTTTTGGGTCTGGATTTGACGGTTCCAATATTTTAAAATTTTAGTTACTTAATTTTTTACTTAAATTTTTACTTGTAAATGGTTTACTGAAATAACAAGTCTCCTAATAAAGTAAATGGTTTACTTAAATAACAAGTCTCCTAATGTGATACAAATTTGTAACAAAGATTTACTGTGAAAACTGCATAAAGTACAAACTTACTACTAGTTCTTCAGACCACAAGTCAGTACAAAACAACAGATGTGCATCCTGATCCCTGACTAATCACATCACTTCAAAATGTGTCAATGATAGTGATTAGTTGAAGCATATCTGTTGTTCAGTTCATGCACAGAAAGCATAGCATGTAGTTACTTGTGTTGCCTCCTTGTCTCTCTCTCTGTAATAAATCCCCATAATATCTTCCAAAAATGAATAATCAAATGAGGAAATTGGACAACAAAGATGAAAATGCAGCAAAGAAACTAAAAACAAAGATACTCATAGGGAAAATCAATTGAATGATGTTACAGAAGAAACAGCTGACCATGGAAATGTTGTTACTTCCACTGTTTGAGACACTGTAAATATCTAGCCAGAAAAACTCAGTGGAGGCAAAATTATTGACATAAAGAGGAAAGTGACCATGACAAAAAGGATGAAGATATCCCAGAGGAAGTGATGCTTACAAAAAACTTCACAGTAAAAGAGAATAAAAGATTATTTCATGACATTGGAAGTACAAAGAATAAAATGTTGAAAACTGATCCATACATACCAAGGAGTAAAACATTTTGCCAAGGCACACAAAAGCTGCTTGTTCTGCATTATAAGTTATAAGGACAGGGCTGTTCAAACTACCCTTTGATATGTTTTTACAAAGAAATAAAATAGTTTAATTCTTAGTGTTTCTTACATTTTAAATTATAATGTACTAAATATTAGTTTTACTTTTTTATTTCACTATTTATAATAAATAGTAATTATATTTTTAATGTTTTGACATTGTCAAGGTCACAAAAGTAATTTTTTTCCACTGACTATTAAAACTGCTTTGCAGCTTGTATGGTCATTGTTATGGTAAAAGATTATTGTGAAAAGCAAGAACTTTTGTTAAATTATTTAAAATTTAAATAGAAATATTTCAAATGAAAAATAAGTTTTACTTAGCTATATATCAGACACAAGTATTTTAATTTACCATCTTGCAAAAACACAAAAAAGATGAAAGAAACAATACTACAGAAACCTCTTAAGTGCCATTTATCTCCATATTCTTCTATTCCTATCCATTTAAGTCCCACTCAAACTAAAATTCCAAGTTCTCAAAATATTACTCAGATCCAATTAGTGAGTATATTATTTCCTATGTAAACACTAAAGAAACTGAAGAACCATCCATGGCAATATAAAATAATAGCAAAAGATGGTTCTTAACTTTCACCATGCTTCATTTCTATTTGTTTCTGATGGCTAGACTCTCAATAGGAAATCTACCCTGTTTCTAATACAAAATACTACCTGACACGAGTCAATTCAGAACCCTTAAGATCATAAAAATTCCACTATTGCAAAAGCCAATAAATAAATGGTAAGCGCATATATCAATATATATGACCCTCATCTATATGTTAACATGGTTCAAAAATATGCCTAAAAATAGGCCTCATAATCTGTTGTTAAATGCAATTAGTTATTAAGAAAATGTGGCTACTACTTTTACAAAAAGGTAATTATCTTCTTATTAACATATTAAAATTACTTTCTCATTTGGATTACACGAAAGTAATATTAAAAAACAAACAGGTATTATAATTCTTTCACAAAATTATACACAAAAATGCAAAAGATACCTTCTTGCTCTTTTGCCTTTTCTCTCTTTGGCTGTGTCTGAATCCACAATATCTGCTCTGAGGCAGTCCAAAGTCCCTGAAAATGAAAGGTGTTCTCCAAAGTACATTCGGTAGCATAGTGGCATTGTATCCTGTGACTGGATCCCTGTATGACTCAGAAGAGGTTTGAAAACAACCTAAAAGACATAAATAGTCATATTAGCTCTATTTATATTTTATTATTTACTGTAGGAATTACATATAGAAAAATGTAGCTTTTTTTTCTTGCCCTATCTTAGTACATATTATTATCATAATGTGAAGCAAAAAACTGTCTCGTATAATTGGCTCTAATTTTCCTTAAAATTTAATATTTTTAGTACCAATTATAGGCTACTCATCTTCAAATTAATATTAATAAATAAGGACACAGATTCCTTGATCTTGCCTGAGTGTCTGAAAGTACAAAGAAAATAAAATTATGAATTAGTTAAATCATTCTACCTTTTGCTTTTAAAACAGGCATGAATTTCTATTGTGTTTCCATTTACAAAAAAAAAGGATATATTAGGTTTACAAAGTTGATTTTTCAACTTCCTGTGTTAATATAACAACATTACAAATGTTACGAATATCTGACCTATTTTTAAATAGAGGCACTTGGTTATAACAGTCATTTAACATTTATTATTTTTTTTTTAAATTTAAAAAAAAATTTTTTTAATTTTTTATTTTTTTAATTAATTTTGACATTATAGGAAAGCCGAGTGGCTTAACATTTATTTTCAAAGAACTTCCTTTACATTTTAAGTATCACACATGCTTATGAAAATACATTATTCTGGTTTAATCTCTAGTTAACTGGATTTCAGACACTAAGCACTAACCGGACAGAAAGAACTACATGCATTCAATGCTAGAGCACTAAAATCACTCTGACTACTCATCCTCTGCATATGGTTCCTTTTCCTCCTTCCACATCCTAAAGATAGGTGCTATCCAGTGCTTTCTCAGCCGCCTTCAAACTCTTTCACTACACATTCTACCTTAGTGATCTTTTCCTGAAGCTTAAAAAATCCCTATGTAAATGGACAAGTGCCATTTACACAATGAGAGCCAATGCTAAATTTCCCATTGTCCTAGGTCACCTCATTTTGTGTGTGTGTGTTTGGGAATACAGCTCTCTATTTAACTGACTCTAAATTCCAATACTTCTCATTTTTCTACTAATCTTGCTAACCCTTCTTTCATCTATTTTTGATCATGAGCTTCCTAATTTCTCAAGTACAGTTGGCCCTCCATATCCAAGGCTTCTGCATCCAAGGATTTAACTAATCATAGATTGAAAATATTAGGGAGTAAAAAACTAATAACATATAACAATGTAACAATTAAAAAATACAAATAAAATACCAATACAGTATAACAATTATTGACATAGTATTTACATTGCATTAGGTATTATAAGTAATCTAGAGAAGATTTAACATACACACAAGCATGTATGTATGTTGTATGCAAATATATGCCATTTTACATAAGGGACTTATACATACCACAGATCTTGGTATCCTGGGTGGCGGATCAGAGGGTGGATAGGGGATTGGTCCTGAAAACAATCCCTTAGATACTCAGGGACAGCAGTACGTAAATATGCTCAAGATCCCTTTATCCTGAAAAAATGATGCCTCCTCTCACCCATGTCCCACTCTCACACTTGCCTTCTGGCCGCTCAAACTAAAAAGTTGTTTTAAAGGATTTCATTCCTTATTCTCCATATTTAATCAATTAAATAAGACCTTCACAATATCTTCATTTAACTTTTCAAAGCCATAAACATCTAAGCTTAGAATCTCCCTACCACTGGGTAAACTATTTCAACAATTCATCTTTTCGCCAGACATGGTGGCTCACACTTGTAATCTCGGCACTTTGGGAGACCGAGCTGGACGATCACGAGGTCCAGAGATCGAGACCATCCTGGCCAACATGGTGAAACCCCATCTCTACTAAAAATACAAAAACACAAAAAATTAGCTGGGCATGGTGGTGTGTGCCTGTAGTCCCAGCTGCTTGGGAGACTGAGGCAGGAGAATCACTTGCACCTGGGAGGCAGAGGTTGCAGTGAGCCGAGATCACACCACTGCACTCCAGGCTGGTGACAGAGCGAGATTCTGTCTCAAAAAAAAAAAATCATCTTTTAACCACTAGTTTCTCTATTTCAATCAATTTAATACAGTTGCTACTCATATAATATTTCTATATCTATAGTTTTAGTTATTTTATTTCTCTTCTCTGAAATCAATGCCTCCCACTTCTCGCTCAAAAAGGTCTTAAGGTGGCACTAAAAATCATAGGGTATAATTAAACTTTCTATTCATGCTGCTTAGCCAATTTGTTACAAATGAAAAAAACGTTACTATATGAGACTCTTCTATTTAATGATTACATATAGATATTTAATTTGCATTTATAATTAACCCATGTATTTTTCAAAGGCTCCTCTTGTTTTGTATGGAGGGTGTGGGCAGATGAGCATGGAATATCCTCACTAGAATTCCAAGATGCATACTACTGGATGGTTCCAGTTGCTAAGCACTGCCTAATGAGGTATAATTATAATTAGGAAAAAAAACAGGCTGGCTCACCTGTGCATCAGCAAGCTGAACAGCAGGAAACCCTTGGTTTGCTTCTTCTACACCTGCCACATCATCCTGACTGGTGCTATGCTGAGAATGTGTGCCATCCAAAGTATTTTGGTCACTAGACAAGACAGTGTTGAAATCTGAGGCTGAGGGTATTGTAGGAAGATTGGGTGCAACACCTAATGGAGTAAATTTTTAAGAATAAAATGTAAATTATTGGGAAATAGAAACACATAAAGGCATACAGCAAGGTGAAATTCTGAAGCCTGTAAAGTAGTACCATTTTCAGACTGTTTAAACTGAAAGGAAAAAAAGTAATTCGTACTTTTAGTTTATTTTATATGCACGATTTATTCGTGGAAAATGAAATTAAATTTTCAGAAGACATGTCTTCCTTATGTATCCTTAGACATACCTACTCTTTTGCATTTATGTTTGTTAAGTAACTAAAAGGTTTAGAATGATAGTTATTATGTCTCAGAGGGATCTAGATAAACTAAAACTTTTTTCTGTAACATTAAGTATATGATGTTTAATTACACTTTTCAGTTTTTTGTTTACCGCCTTTTGGTGTTTTGAAAATTAAAACAGTCGCATTAAAAGGACACTTTAAACTCCTTATATACAATCTCATATTTGACTTAATTGCCTTTCAACAAGAACACTGAGTGACTGCTTACTACTCTCTCAATTACAATATTATCAAAGGCATTCGTAAATGGAACACTTTCAACCAAACAGTGCTTGTTTGAGATTTTTAACCCATCCTCTGAAAAATAAGATTTTGCTATATTTTCCCCTTAGACAGTTAAGCAACATAATGTGATAACTCAATACCTGTTGGAAGACTATTGTGTCCTGATTTTGTAACAGGAGATTCTTGTACTACACTTCCTCGATTACCCACAGCATTTGACATCCAGTTATAGAAACTCACAGATGATGGTTCAGATAGCAAGGGATGTTCAGATAACATATCAGTGGCTACTGCATTTCCTGAAAATAAAATGTTTCTTAGTATTATTTATATACTAAGGAGCCAAAAAAAAATTTAATTTATATAACTACGTTTGAAACGCCAGGTTAAAATGTATGTTTGCAGATGGTTTTAAATTCTCACCGCATAATGTTGGCATTTGGATATTAGTGCATTAATAAAAAGCTTATTTTTATTATAATACGGAAAAATTCTATGTTGCTGGTCTAGACGCATACATTGACATTAGTCAGTGTGCAATTTAAAAATGCAAAGTAAGGGCATGAAGACTCCAAAAAGTTACAAACAGAACAATGGATTTCTAAAATATTTTCTCAAAGATAAGGTATAATATGTCAGATCAGTTGTACTACCAAAGTATATATCTAACTAAACTTAAGTCCTGTTTCATTTCAATTCCCCCGTAAATATAAACATGTAATTGTCAAATCTAGAGGATGTACCTGTTCTCGTTAGGGAGCTACTTTTCACAGCAGCACTGCTTCTCTGAGGAGTCCCTTCCAGGAGGTTGTGCAAGCTTGGGAAGCTTCCGGTCAGGTAGCTGAGTAGACTCTCCTTCCTTGGACTCTCCTTTACTGGCATCCCAGCACGTCCAACATGCACTGGAGAATCAGTGGCAGTATCTCCACTGGTATAGCTCAGAGAATGATATGGGTGAATTCCCTACAGAAAGTGTAACTTAGAGTTATTTCTTATGTATATAAAAATGACTGCTGATAACTACAACTAATATTACTATTACTGTTGCTATAACTGTTAGCTATTTTGCACATTAATACCAAAACTGATCATGTCTACTAAGACTGTGGTGAATCCTTTTTACATACATCCTTAAATGTATGTAAAAATGCTTTATAACTCTATAGTGCTAGACAAAGGGCCACTTTTATTATCAATATTATAATGAAGCACATTCACTTACTTTAACCATGGATCATTAATTCCCTTTATTTTTGTTGTTTTTATGAGATGGAATCTCGCATTGTCCCCTGGGCTGGAGTGCAATGGCGCAATCTTGGCTCACTGCAACCTCTGCCTCCCTGGCTCAATCGATTCTCCTGCCTCAGTCTCCTAAGTAGCTGGGATTACAGGCACCTGCCACCATGCCCGGCTAATTTTTTTGTATTTTCAGTAGAGACAGCATTTCACTATGTTGGCCAGGGTGGTCTTGAACTCCTGACCTCGTGATCTGCCAGCCTCAGCCTCCCAAAGTGCTGGAATTACAGGTGTGAGCCACCGCACCTGGCCATGAATTCCCTTCTTAATCTGATGAGGGAGTCTGGTGACAAGACATAAAACCACATAGCACAGTATATCAAACAGATGGTGGAAATGAAGCACTATTCCTACCGAAGGAGCAGTAAATAGAATATTGAAATTTCAGAAAGTTATACATAGGGTATTTGTGGAAGTGCCAAAGAACATTCATATGGGTAGCAAAGAAAAACAGTAGCTTGAAATATTTATATCACTGCTTATTTACTGAACCAGCAAACTGATACCTAGACACAATATCCTCTACACAAAATATTCCCTAGAAAAACTTACTGCTTCTACTACTACTACTGCCCCCCCCTACACACACACACATACACGCAGAGAGAGAGAGAGAGAGAGAGAGAGAGAGAGAGGGATCTGTAACATAACTGATACCATCAAAAGTAAGGTCTAGGTACTCAAAGAAACTAAAGAAAGAAAAGCATTCTACCTTCAGCAACCTTCCCTGCAGTTTTTAACAGGAGTCAGGATAGACTCTACCTGGAAGGAAACTAGAGGCTTTTCACTAACAGCAAGAAATGCAGGCACAAAGAACACCAGTGCTGTGAAACCCTTAAAAGTCTTAACCCCCCTCTGGAAAGCAGCAAAGTCTATTCCCTTCTCTGTTCCCTCCCAGTCATCCTCACTTAGATGAGGAAACGTGAAGGCAGCATGTCGACACAGGAAGTAAAAGAACACTTACAACATATTAAACACTTGGTAAGCATGTTTCATGTATTATCTTATTTAATCCTTAAGTTCTCCAAGGTAAAATGTTATTTCTACCCTAAAGGATGAAAAAAGTCACTTATATACTTACTAAGGAAAAAGCCAGAATTTTAACCCATTCAACTAACTTATATCTTCAAATTCTTAACACTAAATTATCCTTCCTAGTACTCTAATAGTCAGTGTGTTAAGATTAAATTCTCTGGAGAGCTCTGAAATGCCAAACAGACTTTCCACAATTATTTAATGGAAAAAAATTAAAAATTACAGAATTTCTCAATTTCTATCTTGCCACATCTATGATTAGAATGGCAGATCAATTTAAAATACAGTACAAAAAAAGACTACAAAGACAGAAAGATCTTGAAAAGCAAAGATGTGGAAACTAAACATTTGAAATTTCACATTTTTAGAGGACTTTAATAATCCATAAGCAAAAGAATGTTCAAAACAATTCTGAAAGTGGATTTACTAGGAAAACACCTAAATATGATTCAGAGGTTAGAAACACTGTCCATCAGGAAAGAAAGCTAAGCAGATTAAAGTGTCCCAAGCTTCTAACTATACTGTGGAAACAGAATAAAGCTGAATAGCTGAAACTTCTTTTTAAAATATATCAAACTATCATTGAATGTTTTAACTAAAAGAGCGATACTTACAGAATAGAAACTTTGAAAGCCCAACAGATTATCAAATAGAAAGTAAGTCTCTCCTGTGTTCCAGTATACTGGATCCCTTTTCCTGAGGTTCTCTTAGCTGTTTATCTATCTTTACATAAATCTTTTAGGCCTATAGAAGTATATATATATTTATCCTTTTCTAAACACACAAATAGGTATCAATCCTATACTTTACTTCAGTGATCATTCCATATCCACTTACAGATCTACTTCATCTAGAAGATTTCAGGGTATGCCTCTCTATCAGTGTACACTAGTTTATTAGTCTTCTAATGATTAGTCATTTGTGTTGTTTCCATTATATTCCTTTTATAGTGCTGCAAAGAACGTACTTAGACTCATCTTGTCTTTGTGCGTTTATGACTTTCTCTAGAATGAATTCCTCAATATGGAAATACTAGATAAAAGAGCATCACCTTCTAAATTTTTACACATATTGCCACATTAGTATCAAAGAGGTTGTACCAATTTGACTCCCATCAATGCTGTATAAGAGTATCTGTTTTCCCACATCTTCACCAACAACATACACTCTTCAAAAGTTTTAGTCTTTCAATCTGATAAATGAGAATGGAAATCTCATTTTAATTTACATTTCTTTAATAAGAAAACATTATTGTACGTGTATATGTATTTTTCTGTGAACTGCCTATGTCATTTAACCATTTTTCTATTTGGTATTGGCCTTTTTCTTAGTGATTAGGATGAGATCTTTCTGTTTTAGAAAATTAGTCTTTTGTCTTGTGTCTTACTGTTCTGTTTACAGTACAGTCATGTGCTACATAATTACAGTTTAAGTCAACTATAGGCAACGTATACAATAGTGAGCCCATAAGATTATATCATATTTTTACTGTATCTTTTCTATGTTGAAATACACAAACACCATTGTATTATAATTGCCTACTGGCTTCAGAATAGTAATATGCTGTACAGGTTTGTAGCCTAGGGCAACAGGCTATCCCACATAGTCTAGATGTGTAGTAGGCTGTACCATCTAGGTTTGTGTAAGTACAGTCTATGATGTTTGCACAATGACGAATTGCCTAATGACCCATTTCTCAGAATGCATCTCTGTCATTAAGTGATGCATAACTGTATATTACTTTTTTCTGTGTGGAAATTTTTATTTAATATTGTCAAAATTATCATTTTACGGGTTCTGGGTATCAGTGTGATACACACACAGACTTTCAAAGAAAGTTAAAACTTTTTGTTGTTGTTGTTGAGACGGAGTCTCATTCTGTCACCCAGGCTGGAGTGCAGGCACGATCTCAGCTCACTACCATCTCTGCCTCACAGGTTCAAACTATACTCCTGCCTCAGCATGCCAAGTAGCTGGGATTACAGGCATGCACCACCACACTCAGTTAATTTTTGTATTTTTAGTAGAGATGGGGTTTCATTATCTTGGTCAGGCCGGTCTTGAACTCCTGACCTCGTGACCCACCTGCCTTGGCCTCCCAAAGTGCTGGGATTATAGGCAGAGCCACCGCGCCTGGCCAGAAAGTTATAATTTTAACTTTTTAGTGCTCAGAAAGGTGAACTAGCAAAAAATGAATAACTACCACCAATAAATAATTTATCAAGGGTCAGATATTGTTCTAAGCATTTTTCATGAATTAGTTATTTCTCACAACAACCCTCTTCAGAAGGTTACTGTTATAATCTCCATCTTACACCAAGGAAACTGACATACAGTTAAAACATTCAGTTAACATACAGTTAAAACCTGTTCAGTTACAGAGCAACTGAGTGGCAGGGGCAGGTTTCAAACCAAGGCAGTTTCGCTTCCAAGGTGGTAGTCTAACTACTTTGCTATATATGTTTCTTATCAAGCATCCATTAAATTCATAAAACCAAAAAAATTTAAATCAAAAAACAGTCTAACCCAAACCACCTATTGATTATGCACTGCCTAAAAGGCTTCTCATTAAAACTGATAATTATAAGATTATCAACATTTTCAATTTTGGATTTTATTGAATTTTCAATAAACTGAAGACAGTCCTAAAGCTTAGTAGTTATAGTGGTTCTTAATCAACAGCAGTTACCAATGATATAATTTTCAAAGAAATATTTACACTGAAATTTCAAATCAAGTTAATTTCGACACAAAAATGTTATCTGAATATTGAGGGTAGACATCTAACATTTAAATTTGAGATTTAAGTCTTTCCCTGTTAAGTCTAAATAGATCTAACCAAAAAATAGCAATAATATACCTTTATTTTTAATGCAGAGTCACTATGGGTATGAGTTTTAGAAAGTTTCCTCATTATCTCAGCTCCAGTTACAGGTCCAGAGCTACCAGGTGGGGGCCGGTTAGCTGTTCCTTCTAATAGCATTGTGTGTTCACTGATTGTGGCTGAAACAGTTCAAAAGAATAAATGAGCAACAGATTTTCAGATTTTTCTTGAAACATCAACCCTAATGTTTCTAATTATATAACGACATTCAACTTTCATATTCCTTGACAAATATTTGTTATTCCTCCCCCGATACTATCACTCAGTTTCAAGAAAGGAACAAATGGCTTTTATTCAGTATTTCACATACTCCATGCAAACGATACCCAGACCAAAATTCAATTCAATTAAGCTCAAGAAAGCACAGACTGCTTATAGATTAAAAGAGGGATCTGCAGATAATTGGAAGGGAAGGGATATTCAGTGCACTGGTTTTCCAGCTTTGTGTAGATTTAAAAATTTTCAAAATAAACAATAAATAAAATCTACACTATTCCTCATAACCTGTTTGTTAAATATCATGTTATTTTTAAAACTAAGCTTGGTAAAGTTTTATATATCAATGTTCTAAAATCTCTAATTTTAAGACTACTCTTTCAGTATTTTTTCAAAACCATCATAACATGCATTTTCAGTAAATATTATAGGTCACAATAAAAATTAACCTTTGGCAAAGCATTAAGGTATGCATGTACATTTCATAAATGCATATCTGCTATCTTTGTTCTGGCATGGCCATTGTGTTGACAAAACTGTAGGCTGAGTGCAGGTCCCCAAGTTTACATAAATTCAGGACCAAGCAGGCATCAGGTAAAAAGACAAAGGCCCCTTGAAAATAATGTGGCATAGGGAAGATGACAAATAAAAATTTTAAATAGAGGTTTATGTGTTTCATTCAAAACACTCTACATATTTTAAGATACTTTTTGTCCTGGATAGATCAGGAGAAGTCTACTGTATTTCACAAAATTAAACTTACAAAATCAAGTCAGTATGAAGACTCCTAATCATTACCACTTATTTGGCCAATAAAAATCACACTTGTACACTTAAGCCATGACATTTTCTAATTTGGGACACAAATTACTAAAATTATCGTAAGTACCATGTTAACAAGTATGTAATATCTAAAATCTCTTATATTAGTAATTTATTGATAACTGTGAGGGAAAACAAAGGGGTCTCGACATTTTTAAAGAGGTATATTAACTTATCAATAGAAGATGTATAATATCTAAGCAAAAAAAACTACAGCAATTTTGTTGAGTAAGAAAATACCCTAATTGTGAGGTGCAAGAAAGCACTCAATAAAGGCTTACAAAACTACCTGCATCAAACTCAAATTCTGCACCATCAGCACTGGTATCACTTTGAAGACCGCCCCCATTGTCCAATCCAAGTCCATCTTCGTGTTCATGGTCCACAGCTATTTGAGGTTTCAGAGGCTGAGCTGGTCTATGTAAGCTAACTCCTTTAAAGGCTGGTGTCACCACAATAAACTTCATCCACTGCCTTGCCAGTGCAACTAAACCTTTCTTCAAAGTTACCAAAGCAGGAAGTCCATCACTCTGTAACAACAATGATGTAATTATAAATAATCTAATGTAATAATAACAGTTACTATTTAAGTGTTTTGCATATATTTATTCAAATTTCATAATCCCCATTTAAAGATAAAGAAACTAAAACTTAGATGTTAAGTAATTTGTTCAAAGTTGTCCAAGAGAGTCAGGATTTCAGTTATCAGTAGAATATAAAATCTAATCTCTAGACACAACATTTCATCTTTCTGTAATAAAACAACACAATAGCATAGGTCAAGAAGCATTCAATCTGCATTTTTTGCCCAAGTGAAAAATCAAAATATATTTTGAGCTACCTGGAATATTCGATAAGTAAAGGGGAAGTACAATTATTTCCTTCAAAGATTAGGTAACTACAACGATTTTAACATTAAAAAAATAAATTACTATAACTTATGTAGTATGCTAGATGTAGATGAATTTGTAACTGCTTTGAAAGTTAACTGCATTATCAGTAATAATTATACAGTTTAAAATACAGTTTATTTCACATGGTGATGACCGTAAGAAACTTTTGGCTCTTTTTCTATTACCTTAGTCTAATTACCTTGCCTTAGCATAAAGAGAAAATACCTAACTCCTCTCCATCCTATTTCCTACTATTCCTCATTTTAGGAAAAGGCTGATTTGATTGAAGAGCATCATGTACTAGTGGGCAGGAATCATCCTGTTTACTATCTGACGAAAACCAATACCACTAGCCTGTCCTTTCATTCCTAGCCTCGTACTGGAGCATGTTGTGCCTCTTCCTCTTACATGGAAAGCACATCTGGCAGAGCATCCACCCATGAGAAACACCTGCCATTCTCTCTGTTCACACTTCTCTACGTATAACTACACAGGCAAGTTAGGCTTAATCTGTAGATTTCCTAGTCTTCAATTCATAGGGAGGGAGTAAAAAGTACTACACCAGCCTTAGATCTAAGTGTCTTTTTCATATCCAACACTTATTAGAGATTCTTGACTTGCCTGACCAATGGCTTGACTGGCAATTAATAATACTGATACACTAGTCCCTAATTTGACTAAAGATTCTTGTGTATACCCTATTTGCCAGCAGCTTGAAGAGAAGAGAGACCCTAAAAGTTCTAAAACTCTAATCATGATGTGTTATTTGCTTTTCTAGAGGCTGAGATGGATTGTATTTATTTTGTGCAGTAATATATTCTCCCCTCAATCATCAATTAGTCCCTGTTTCATCAAACTGTATGTGAAATTTGGCTCTGGTAATTATTCTCTTGCTTAAAAACTCTTTATAAAATTAGCTTCCATGGCAGCACTCTCTCCTGGTTCTCCTACCACTGTCTTTCCTTTTTCATCACTCTGTGTACCCCTTTCCAACCACCTACACTCCCTTTAATTTTGGCATTCTTCAGGATTCCATCCCTGAGCAGTTTCTTACTCAACACAGCATTCCTAGAAATCTCATCCATGTCTACAGCTTCTACTAACACCTTCATGCTGGCAACTCCCAGATCGTGAATATGAACACACTCTTGCCTATAAACATGTCTTTTTTTTTTTTTTTTTTGATCAATTTTATGGTCAGTACACAGTTTATCTTAATATTACATTTTAGCATCTGGTAGAACAATTTCTTTTTTTTTTTTTTTTTTTTGGATACAGAGTTTCGCTCTTGTTGCCCAACCTGGAATACAATGGTGCAATCTAGGCTCACCACAGCCTCTACCTCCCAGGTTCAAGAGACTCTCCTGCCTCAGCTTCCCCAGTAGCTGGGATTCCAGGTGCCCAGCACCATGCCTGGCTAATTTTTTGTATCTTTAGTAGAAACAGGGTTTTGTCATGTTGGCCACACTGGCCTTGAACTCTTGGCCTCAGGTGATCTACCCACCTTGGCCTCCCAAAGTGCTGGGATTACAGGCGTGAACCACCACACCCAGCCCTTAGACCTGTATTTCTAACCATTCCCACATACATCTCAAACCCTGTGTATTTATCAGTGGTCCACCAACAGAATAGAAGCCTCCTTCAAACTAATATAGTTTCATTAACTTACCATTGTAGCATCATCAATGATGGAGTAATTTGCCTGGTGCAGATAGTGGTGTAGTATATTACATAGCAAACATGAAGGATTTTCTTGGAGAAAGCGAGCAACTTTTGTCAGTCTGTTGTATTTACTTCTTAGGGGAAAATGTACACTTTTATTCTAAAATCAAACAACAACAATAGATTTAGAGTGACAGGTATGAAAGAGCCTACAAATGAAAGATAATTCAGTAATTAAGAACTTGTAAGTCTGATATTTTCCAACAGCAATTAACAATAAGGGGTCATTTTCAATACTGGTGTTTGTATACCTTACATTACTTAAAGACATACCTCTAATGCTTCTGTCATTATGCATCCCATAACAGCACAAATTCTCAAGGTTCCCTCAGTTTCCAATTTGTTTAAAGATGACTTGAGTTGGTCAATAGGAACAAGCCATGCACCAACAGCTGGCGTTGCAGTGCTTAAAAGGTTCAGCTGCCTTTTAACACAAATAAAAAATTATAAAAACAAGGGTCAAAATTTGTATTTCAAATAATCTCTGACACCTACTGTGCTTGGTGGCTGTTTTACTCAGACAGAATTACTTTCTTATCTTTTTGAGTTCTGATAAATAAAAAAAAAAAAAAAAAAAATGTAAAAAAAAAAAAAAAAAGACAATAGAAAAGAAAGAAAAAACAAGCCTGTCGGAGATAAAAAAGAGTAAACCTAAGTCTAAGGCAGGAGAACATGTAAAAATAAAGCTAAAGTACTATGAAAGAAATCGGGTCAAACAAGGTGAGAATGATGTCTACAGAACATATGAAGTAAGAATGATGAAAAAGTAGCAACCTTAATACTATATATACCAGAAAAGTAATTTTAAAAAATATAAAACAGAATTGTATGCTATTTTAAATAAAGAAATATCAAGGGATAATACTGTACTTTAAAAACTCTTTACCTAGAAAATACATGGGTGTGAGATCTCACATTGGTGGGAGCTGCAAAACTAAACCAAATTTCTTTAATGGTCAACTTCATGCTACATGAATCCGGAGGAGGAGGCATCAGAGGGAGATCTTTTTTCAAATCATCAGATTCGACTCCTTCATCCTATATAAAATAGAATGCCAAAAACTTACTAACATACAGCACCTTAAAACCACTAACACAGAGGCTAATGTTTTAAGTGTAAAACCTTTTCATCAAAGCAAGTTCTACAGATTAATACCCTTACATCAAACAAGTAACGTAAAGCTTGCTCAGCACAATCAAAGGTCTAAGAACTAAAAGGCTTCAACTGATCACTTCATTTAATCACATTTGTTTAGGGATCTTGAGTGTTAATTTGTCAAGGTAAAGACAGTGAGAGAAAGATCTGCAATTTCCTGGGGCTTGGATAACTATTAAATTGGAACACAGGTAACAGAACTAAGGACTTCTGCTTCCTACTGCAATCTGCTTTCCATTCCATTTTACTAGAATATTTCAAACTTCCAAATAAAGCGCAATAAAAAATACTAATGTAGTGCATGTTCAAATAAATAACACTTTAAAATTTTATTTTTTATTTTTTATTATACTTTAAGTTCTGGGATACATATGCAGAATGTGCAGGTTTGTTACATAGGTACATGGGTGCCATGGTGGTTTGCTGCACTCATCAACCTGTCATCTACATTAGGTATTTCTCCTAATGCTATCCCCTCCCCAGCCCCCCAGGCCCCCAACAGGCCCTGGTGTGTGATGTTCCCCTCCCTGTGTCTGTGTGTTCTCATTGTTCAACTCTCACTTATGAGTGAGAACATACAGTGTTTGGTTTTCTGTTCTTATATTAGTTTGCTGAGAATGATGGTTTCCAGATTCATCCATGTACCTGGAAAGAACATGAACTCATCCTTTTTGATGGCTGCATAGTATTCCATGGTGTATATGCGCCACATTTTCTTTATTCAGTCTATCACTGACGGGCATTTGGGTTGGTTCCAAGTCTTTGCTATTGTGAACACTGCCACAATAAACATACATGTGCATGTGTCTTTATAGTAGAATGATTTGTAATCCTTTGGGTATATACCCAGTAATGGGATTTGGGATCAAATTTCTAGTTCTAGATCCTTGAGAAATTGCCGAACTGTCTTCCACAATGGTTGAACTAATTTATAGTCCCACCAACAGGGTAAAAGTGTTCCTATTTCTCCACATCCTCTCCAGCATCTGTTATTTCCTGACTTTTTAATGATCAGCATTTTAACTGGCACATGATGGTATCTCATTGTGGTTTTGATTTCCATTTCTCTAATTACCAATGATGATGAGCTTTTTTCCATGTTTGTTGGCTGCATAAATGTCTTTTTTTGAAAAGTGTACTTTGCCCACTTTTGAATTTTTTTTTTCTTGTAGATCTGTTTAAGTTCTTTGTAGATTCTGGATATTAGCCCTTTGCCAGATGGATAGATTGCAAAAATTTTCTCCCATTCTCTAGATTGCTTTTTCACTCTGATGATGGTTTCTGTTGCTGTGCAGAGCTCTTTAATTAGATTCCATATGTCTATTTCGGCTTTTGTTGCCATTGCTTTGGTGTTTTAGTCATGAAGTTTTTGCCCATGCCTATGTCCTGAATGGTATTGCCCAGGTTTTTTATGATTTATGTCTTCTGTTTAAGTCTTTAATCCAACCTAATTTTTGTATAAGGTGTAAGGAAGGGATGCAGTTTCAACTTTCTTCATATGGCTAGCCAGTTTTCCCAACACCATTTATTAAATAGGGAATCCTTTCCCCATTGCTTGTTTTTGTCTGGTTTGTCAGAGATCAGATCATTGTAGATGTGTGGCATTATTTCTGAGGCCTCTGTTCTGTTCCACGGGTCTATATATCTGTTTTGGTACCAGTACCATGCTGTTTTTGTTACTGTAACCTTGTGTTATAGTTGGAAGTCAGCTAACATGGTGCCTCCAGCTTTGTTCTTCTTGCTTAGGATTGTCTTGACTATGCAGACTCTTTTTTGGTTACATATGAAATTTAAAGTACTTTTTCTAATTCTACTTTAGAAGAAAGTCAATGGTAGCTTGATGGGGATAGCACTGAATCTATAAATTACTTTGGGCAGTATGGCCATTTTCACAATACTGATTCTTCCTAACCACAAGCAAGGAATGTTTTTCCATTTGTTTGTGTCCTCTCTTATTTCCTTGAGCAGTTTTTTGTAGTTGTCCTTGAAGAGGTCCTTCACATCCCTAGTAAGTTGTATTCCTAGGTATTTTATTCTCTTTGTAGCCATTGTGAATGGGAGTTCACTCATGATTTGGTTCTGTCTGTTATTGGTATATAGGAATGCTTGTGATTTTTGCACATTGATTTTGTATCCTGAGACTCTGCTGAAGTTGCTTATCAGCTTAAGGAGATTTTGGACTGAGACGATGGGGTCTTCAAAATATATAATTAGGTCATCTGCAAACAAAGACAATTTGACTTTCTCTTTTCCTAATTGAATATCCTTTATTTCTTTCTTTTGCCTGACTGCCCTGGCCAGAATTTTTAATATTATGTTGAATAAAAGTGGCAAGATAGGGCATCCTTGTCTTATGACAGTTTTCAAAAGGAATGCTTCCAGTTTTTGCCCCTTCAGTATGATATTGGCTGTGGGTTTGTCATAAATAGCTCTTATTTTGAGATACATTCCATCAATACCTAGTTTATTGAGAGTTTTTAGCATGAAGGGCTGTTGATTTTTGTCGAAGGCCTTTTCTGCATCGATTGAGATAATCATGTGGTTTTTGTCATTGGTTCTGTTTATGTGATGGATTATGTTTAAAGTCCTTATTTAATATGCTAGTATTCCCAATCTGTATTGAGATGTAGGAATAATTGTGAAATGTGTAGCCACCACTCTTCAGAATGCAAGAAGGTAAGAAACACAATTTTTTACGAGTATAAACAAGTTTTTTTCTTTTTATTTCAAATCCTAAACATGTGTCACACCACCACATTGCCTTGTTACATAATTTCTTGATAAAAAAGGATATGTCAAAACACTATCAATTGATACTTTATAAAAATGCTGTCATATATTTAGAAACTTCAAAGACAAATTGAAGATTTATCATAAAAGACTTGTAATTTACTTATTTTTAATTATTTTTAATTTCTTTTCATACACAGGTGTATATATTTATGGGTTACATGAGATATTTTGATACAGGCAAGCAATGTTTAATAATCATATCAGGGTAAATGGGGTATCCATCACCTGAAGCAATTATCCTTTGCTATAAATAAACCAATTATACTCTTATACTTATTTTTAAATATGCAATTAAATTTTTTACTATAATCACCCTCTTGTGCCAGCATATACATCTTATTCTTTCTAACTATTTTGCACCATTAACCATCTCCAACTTCCTCCCAGCTCCGCAACACATACTAACATTGCAAGCCTCTGGTAACTATGCTTCTACTCTCGATCTCCATGAATTCAAGGGTTTTTATTTTTAGCCCACACAAATAAGTGAGAACATGTGAAGTTTGTCTTTCTGTGCTTGGCTTATTCACTCAACGTAATGACATCCAGTTCCATTCATTTTGTGGCAAATGACAAAATGAATTCATTCTTTTTTATGGCTGGATAGTAATCCATTGTGTATATGGGCCACGTTCTCTTTACCCACGAGTCTGTTGATGGCTGCTTCCAAATGTTGGTTGTGGTGAACAGTGCTGTAATAAACATGTAAAAACAGCTATCTCTTCAATATACTGATTTCCTTCTTTGGGGTATGCACCCAGCAATGAGATTGCTGGATTGTGGGTAGCTGTATTTTTAGTTTTTGAGGAAACTTCCAACTGTTCTCCACAGGGGTTAAACTACATTCCCACCAACAGTGTACACAAGTTCACGTCCTTTACAGGAACATGGATAAAGCTGGAAACCATCATTCTCAGCAAACCGACACAAGAACAGAAAGCCAAACACCACATGTTCTCACTTACAAGTGGGTATTGAACAATGAGAACACATGGACACTGGGAGGGGAACATGACACAATGGGGCCTGTCAGAGGGTAGGGGCAAAGGAAGGGATAGCAGGGGGTGGGGGCCTGGGGGAGGGATATCATTATGATTAGAATTTTTATTAGTTTTCTTTTTGCTTGTTTGTTTATGCAAGCAGTGCTAAGTTGTTATCTTAAAATAATGGTTTATAAGACAGTATTTGCTATACTTTCATGTGGTTTTTATCTTTGGTTCTGTTTATGTGATGGATTATGTTTATAGATTTGTGCATGCTGAACCAGCCTTGCATCCCAGGGATGAAGCCACTGCAGTACTATTCACAATAGCAAAGACCTGGAACAAACCCAAGTGCCCATCAATTAGAGACTGGATAAAGAAAATGTGGCACATAAACACCATGGAATACTATGCAGCCATCAAAAAGCATGAGTTCATGTCCTTTCCAGGGACATGGATAAAGCTGGAAACCATCATTCTCAGCAAACTGACACAAGAACTGAAAACCAAACACCACATGTTCTCACTCATAAGCGGCTACTCAACAATGAGAACACATGGACACAGGGAGGGCAACATCACACACTGGGGCCTAGCAGGGGGTGGGAGGCCGGGGGCGGATAGTAAGGGGTTGGGGGATAGGGGAGGGATAGCATTAGGAGAAATACCTAATGTAGATGATAGGGTGATGGATGCAGCAAACCACCATGGCACCTGTATACCTATATAACAAACCTGCATGTTCTGTACATGTACCCCAGAAGTTAAAGTATAATAAAAAAAAAAATTCAAAAAAAATTCTATACTTTAACTTCATCTCTACTGTTTAACTTTTTTATTGTTTCTATTTATCTTATTGCACTACGTCTTTAAAAGTTGTAGTTATTTTGGGTTCATCTTTTACTCTTTCTACTTAAGAGTAGTTTACACGGCAGTTACAGGGTTATAACATTTTGTGTTTTTCTGTCTACTTACTATTATCAGTCAGTTCTGTGCCTTCAGATGATTTCTTACTGCTCATTAACATCCTTTTCTTTCAGATTAAAGAACTCTCTTTAGCATTTCTTGTAGGACACGTCTAGTGTTGATGAAATCCCTCAGCTTTTGTTTGGGAAATTCTTTACTTCTCCTTCATGTTTTAAGGTTATTTTGGCCAGATACTCTACTCTTTTAAAAGTGTTTTTCCTTCAGCACTTTAAATATGTCATGCCACTCTCTCCTGGCCTGTAAGATTTCCACTAAAAAGTCTGCTGCCAGTTGTACCAGAGCTCCATCGTATGTTATGTTTCTTTTCTGTTGCTGCTTTTAGGATCCTTATGCTTGACCTTTGGGAGTTTAATTATTAAATATCCTGAGGTAGTCTTAATTGGTTTAAATCTGCTTGGTATTCTATACCTTCTTGTACTTGAATATTGGTATCTTTCTCAATGTTTGGGAAATAAACTTTCTACTCATCTCTTTCCCTACCTTCTCTTTAGGGTCAGTAACTCTTAGATTTGCCCTTTTGAGGCCATTTTCTAGATACTGTAGACATGCTTCATTCCTTTTTCCTTTTGTCTCCTCTGTGTATTTTCAAACAGCCTGTCTTCAAGCTCACTAATTCTATCTTCTGCTTGAACAGTTTTGCTATCAAGAGACTCTGATGCATTCTTCACTGTGTCACTTGCATTTTTCAGCTCCAGAATTTCTGCTTGATTCTTTTTAATTATTTAAATTTGTGAAATTTATTTAATAAGATTCTGAATCCCTTCTTTCTTTTACCTTGAATTTCTTTGAGTTTCCTCAACACAGTTATTTTGAATTTTGTCTGAAAGGTCACATACCTGTTTTTCCGGGATTAGTCCCTGGTGCCTTATTTAATTCATTTGGTGAGGTCATAGTTTGCTGGCTGTATGCTCATCAATGTCTGGGCATTGAAGAGTTAGATGTTTATTGTTGTCTTCACGGTCTGGGCTTCTTTGTACCCATCCTTCTTGGGAAGGCTCTTCAGGTATTCAAAGGGACTTTGGTGTTATTGGTTTTTGGTCAGCACAGTCATAACTGCATTAGGGGGCACTCCAAGCCCTGTAACACTGTTCTTGCAACTTACAGAGGTACCACCTTGGTGGTCTTGGGTAAAATCCAGAACATTCTCTGGATTACTAGGCAGAGGCTCTTATTCTCTTCCCTTACTTTCTCCCAGAGTCCCTCTCTCTGTGTGCTGAGCATCCTAGAGCTGGGGAAGCAGTGACACAAGCACCCCTGTGGCTACCAACACTGGAACTGTTTAGGGTTAGACCTGAAGCCAGGAGAGCACTGAGTCTCACCCAGGACCTGCTGTAACCACTACCTGGCTTCCACCTATGTTTGTTCACAGACCTAGAGCTTTACAATCAGCAAATGGAAAAACCAGTCAGGTGTGAGTCTTTCCCCTCAGAGTGGTGAGTTCCCCAGGCTCTGGGCAGGTCCAGAGATGCTATCCTCGAGGCAACAACTGGAGACAAAAACCTTATAAATCTACCTGGTGTTCTATTCTACCATGGCTGAGCTGGTACTCATATCGCGAGACACAGAGTTTCCCACTCTTCCCTTTCCACAGGCAGAGAGCACTCACCCCATGGCCACCACCATCACAGGCCCATGGGGAATACTGTCAGACTACCACTGATGTTCACTTAAGGCCCAAGGGCTGTTCAGTCAGCTTGTGGTGCATGCTGCCAGGCCTGAACCTCACTCTTCAGGACAGCAGGCTCCCCGCTGACCCAGGGCAGGCACAGAAATGCCATCCAGGAGCCACATCCAGGAATCAGGGACCCCAAGAGCCTGCTTAGTGCTGTGCACACTGTGGCTTTGCTGCCATCTAAGGTGCAAAACAAAGTCCCCTTTACTTTTCCCTTTGCTTTTCTCACGCAGAATGAATCTCTCACTATAGCCACCAGAGCTAGGAATGTGCTAGACTGCACCTAAAGCCAGCACATCGAAGAGTGCCACCCAGGCCCCATGATGTACTACCTGGGTACTGCTGCTGGTTATTCAGGGCTCAAAACCTCTTTAGTCAGCAGGTGATTGATTCAACGACGACTGGGTCCTTTCCTTCAATGCAGTGGGTTCCCTTCTGGCCCAGGGTGTGTCTAGAAATATTGTCCAGGAACTAGGGTCCTTCACAACTCTGCTAAGTACTACATGATGATGTCTAAAAGGCCACTAGATACAATTCTGCAGCTCAGGTGAAGAGCTGGTACTAAAGATGTGGCCAGTGGGAAGGAGAAGTGTCATTAAATTATGGAATGAATTAGGAAATGAAGTTTGTCAGGGAGTAGACAAATAAGAAGAAGAGCCAAGAACAGAACCTGGGGAGAATACCACATTTAAGAAGATGAAAAAATTCCATAAGGAAATGGACCAATAAAGTCAGAGAACCCAAAGAAAGTAATGTTAGCAAATTCAAGGAGGACTTTCAGCAAGGAGAGCAGGATCTGAGATATCAAGAAAGATGTATGAATTCTGTCAAGTATTTTAGTAGGTGAAGGAAAGGGAAAGAATGGCTAAGTTCTTCCCAGTTCTTTTGTCCAGTGAGTGGCTACTGTATTTTTAAATTTCCTTAATTATAGTGATAATCCATCTCCCAAACATTTCCAAAGACCTCCAAATAAAACTGTGATTAAACTCATTAAATTACACATTAAATAAAAACAAATGTTTTAAAAATAAATCCCTAGGAATCTGGGGGGTAAAGGCGAGTATACCCATGATTACTAGATAAGCATACTAGATTTCCTAATTAAAAGGTGGTTTCTTTGGAACTTTTTCCTCTCCAATTGGTCTAATTTTCATAGTGATCTGAAATATATGTATACATAAGAACAACAGTTACTAAGTTCTTACTATGTACTAGGTACTGAGCTAAGCCCTTCATATGTATTGTCTGCTTCAATCTTCACAATGCTGCAAGGTCAATATCAAGACCATACTCCCGTTACCGGTAAAGAAACTTAGGAGAAGGTAAGGAACTTGCCCCAGGTCACCATTTCGTGGCACATTTCTTCAACCCCAAATTTGGAATATTTTTGTTGTTGCTGTTACTGTACTCAACACCACCCATGTAATTCTACCATAATAAAAATTAAAAATAAGTTGCATATAAGGTATTAATCAGAACTCTAACTGAAATAAGCAGATGCTGACAAAAATATTTAGAACTGACATAACATACTACTAATACCAAAATGACTTCTGCTAAAATCTCCAAAACTTATAGGTGGGCCTCTCTTAAATTTTATTAATTTATTATTCCAACAAATACTTATTACCTAATATGAACAAGGCATAATGCTAGGACTATGATGGATATAAATATATCTATGATATACTTCAGAAATTTTATTCTAGTAGTATATTCACCAACATACTTTGACTAACATTTAAGCAGATATCATAAATCCAAAACAGGAAAAGATAGGCAAATATACTCCAGAAACTAATTTTGAATTGCGAATGTAGTTTTGTTATTTTTCTAAAGCATCATTATTATTATTAGAAAGTCACTGACTTGTTCATCTGAAACAGAATTTCCATTTAAGTCTGAGGAAGGGCTTGTCCGGTCACATGGAAGATTATCATCAGAGACATCAGTATTATAGCCACTGCCAGTTGGAGAATCAGAAGAATTATTGGATGTCAGCACTCCACCCCTTTCTGTGTCACTAGCTTTACCCATAATTCCAAAACTGTTATATAAAACAGCACCAGACTGTCTTCCTCCTATAAAAATAAAAAAGTATTTATTATAATTAGTCAATAAGTGTATTAATGCTGTACTCTAAAATATCTGGCATAAAATTTCATAAAGCCTATTTTTTTCTTACCAAGTGTTTACCCTTATCTATAAAAGTAATGTAACATTGAATTATCAGGTAAATAGTTGTAGGTATATATAATTACTACTACTTATAGTAGTTACTATATTATCTATGACTAAATCTAAAAAAGTGTTATGGACATTTCAACCTTCCTTTTTGAAATATTACTCAATAATATATAGGAAAGTAAATATAAGTAGATATTTTTCACTAAAGAATTTAACATTTTTACATTCTACATGGCATAATCCTACCAGTCAACAATCCAGTTTTCAAAGACGCAAAGTTTCAAAAAATTGGGTGGCTTTATATTTTATCTGGGAACTTTTTCTGAATAACAAATTGTTTTGTTCAAGCTCTACCTAGTTTTGAAATCACATAATTAAGCAACCGTATGGGGTACTCACCCCTGGTAAATAATCCCAGATACCACACTTCCCGCTTTATTATGTTGATTCAGGTTACTGAAAGCCATGATTGTTTAAAACATTTCTACAATACAGGACAAATTTGTCCCCTACTTAAGCAGAATTCAACAAAAAATGCTTGCCTTTTATGGTTAAATTTTCAAGTCCACATTCAAACATTATCCATCCCCATTTTTCTTGGCTGGGACCTATTCGAGTTACATCTGGAACAGCTTGCTGATCAGTTTCATCCACAAAAGTAAATTCATCCAACTCTTCAAGAGTAAATAAAACTTTGGACTTCTCAAAAGGAATAGCAGTGATGGCACAGGTCCCAATGTCTATTATCAAGAGAGCAAAATGGCCATTTTTAAAGACATAAGCTTACATAAACAAACAAACATTTGGACGTCTGGCACACTGGTTGCCTTTAAGATATCTTAGTACTCTGTCAAAAAGATAGAAAGATAAACAAATTAACTATTTTTTAGAATAATGCTGCCTAAGAAGAAGAAGATTCCGTGATTAACAAGTTGCTCAAAGGTGGTATGAATTTGTTTCTGAATGAAAATAGGATACTCTAAAAAATATAAAGTTAAAGATGTCCTAAATGGTTAATCTTCATAGTAGTTTTAAATACTTTCATCATCTCACAAAATAAAAAAATATTTCAATTCATTGCCAAGCCTTAGGAAAAATATTATTTTCAAGGCAAATTATAGCTTTTACTAAAAGACTGTTTTATACTAACATATTTTATATAACTACAATTTATCATAGACCTTGTCACAGTTCCATTGCTTACAGATACACCATGGAAATTAACATCCCGAGTGCCTTGGAGAAGTTTTACTTTATCTTACTTTTTTCATTTCTTTCTCTAATTATCACTAATGAATGATTTAAAAAAAGAATATTAAAAACACATGTAAATTTACCATTCAAAGATAACTTATCTATATTTAAAGTACACTGCCTTCTAGCCCTTTAGAGATCACTTTGCAAACCCAGCTTTGGTTCCCATTTTTCATGCAACAGTAAACCATGATAATTTCCTGAGCTCATTAAAAGTTTTTCAAAGATATCTTTTTTTTTTTTTTTTTTTTCTCACATTTTTTAAAACATATTTTTTTTTTTTTTTTTTTTTGCCTCACATTGAAAGCTTTTATTTCGAAAAATAAAATACAAAAGTCATTAAGTTGTAAACATATAATGGTAATTTCCCAACTTCTCAGAAACAATCAAATGAATCATTTAAATAATTATTTAATATTACCCGCATCAATACATTTAAACAGGCACATGTGTTCCATAAAACATTAGAACATGTACCAGATAACCTATTTCAAAAGGAAACTGTGCAAGTCTGCTTACAGGATCCCATTTTTAAACCCTCCCCTTGAACACCAACTTCGTAATCTGGTAAGAAAAGAGGACAAGAGCAGTTTTAACAGGAAACACGTCCCTTCTGGGCTCCGTATCACAGGGTTGTGCATGGAATCAGTATCAAGAGCTCTTTACTCAGAAGGCAGATCCCTCACAAGGCCCAAAGGTGTGTGGACACCTCCATCCTCTCAGTGGGAGGAAACTGGCAAAAGAAGAGGAGACAAAGAGGAGATGCAGCCAAGGTGCAGATGCTCGGAAGGGGGCAGCCAGTCCTAGAAATTTCCCGTCACTGAAAAGGCAGCCTTCTTTCCTCAGGTACGGAAGAGGCTCCTGGTTCTGCTACTCCACTTGCTCAGTATGGTTTTTCTTTAAGAAAGTCAGGTAGCTGGAATTCTCCCTTATAGACGCTTCGAATGTTTTCAAGAATTTTGGGATCAGGTTTTCCGTAGTTAGATGGGTTGGCATATGGGTCATATCCAAGTTTGGCAAGCATAGGAACAATCACTGCCATGTCTTGCAAAACATCTCGTGCTATCTTCCCAACCCATTTTGATAGAGCTCCTACATTGACTGGCTTGATGACTTGGTCTGTAGATCTCTCCACTTTTGACAGAAACACTCCCCTAGCTTTCCCAATCATCTCTTCATGGTGCAGTACCGAGTAGTTCCAGGGAATATGGAAGAACTTTAAGAGTGTTCTCATCCACTGTTCAGGGTGTAAGACAAGCTATTCGTAGTGAACCAACATGCACTTTTTATAACCAACCTCCATACACTGGTTATACATGGTCTCTATGGCACGATTTCACTTGGTCAAGCAGTCCCTGTAGCTGTTCAGGTCAAATCCAGCTATAGTAACTTTTTGAGAAATCATCAAATGTACTGATGCCCAGCCATCTCGGACCATCAGGAGAAATTTGGCATTGAGGAATAACCTAGCAAGGTAAGTTAAGGATTTCAGGGCAAAAGGATCTTTATTACATAAATAAGGGGCTGGCTCCTCATGCTTAATAATGATTTCTAGTAAGATGGCTTGCATGGCAGAATCCAGCACCTCATCAGTAACACCAGCCTCATCCAGCCGGATCTTCTCTTTACTTGACCGTAATCACATCTGCTTCAGGGCCACGATTCGGGGAGTGACCCTGGTTTCCTCTCCATAGCGAATGTCAGGATGTGCATCCAGCATGGCCCTCATGAGTGTGGCTCCACTCCAAGGCACACCTCCAATAAATATTAAAGGCATATCTTTGTGATAGGCAAAGGTCTTGTTGGCTTTGAGGTCCAGGGCAGTTCTTACGGTGGCCCTTGTGCTCTCTGATTCTACTGGCTAGCTGCATTCCTCTAACTGGTGATGGCATTCCATGGCATGCTGGTCCAAGTAAAACATGGTCACAGAACAACACCAGATGTGCCAATAGTAAGTTCTGCTTCATCTTTCCAACCATCTTGATATGGTTATCTTGTTATTAAACAGATATTTTGCTCAAAATGATTTTCGGAAAATGTTCAGGCCATGGAGAGTCTACTTCAGAAAGATGACCAACATCTGGGATGAGTGAGGAGCTGCTGCGCCGCCTTGCCAGCATCCTGGGCTCAGCCGCTAGTTCCACCGCCCTCGGTCGGGGGCCACTCAGGAGCCCACCCTCACCGCCAGGCGCCAGTACTGCCAGCCCAGCTTGGCCCCGCAGAGCAGCGCTGCTGCAACCCGCACCTGCCTCAGCAGCCTTCAAAAATATCATTTTAAGAGCTATATAATACGCCATCCTATGGAAATGCCATTCTTTGCATTTATAATTAAAAAGTCTTCTTCAGAGAGTAATTCATCTACATTTTCCTATAATTTTCTCATTTAGTTTTTTTTGTATTTGTCTTTAATCTCATACTTATTCAGTGTATCAAAGTTCCAAAAATTATGAAAAAGTGTGCAATGAAAAGCCTCTAATACCACAACCAGACACCGAGATTGCCTCCCTATGAGGGTAATAAATATGAGGTTATTAAGTATCCTTAGGCAGATACCGAATGTACATATAAGCAAAGACATCTACATTTTTGCCACATTTTTACCAAAATGTCCACCTTGGAATTTCATTAGGAGCTTTGTCTTCGATGAGAGTTTTTTCTTCATGACAATGCCTTTCAAAATTATGTAAGATACTGCTTATGGTCTGTATAATACCTAAGTGCAAACTGGTTACCAGTGCAAGCTACAGAGCAGATAAATGTCTCTTCACTCAAGCCACATTTTTTTTTTTTACCAGTTTTAGGATGACAGATCTTAGGCAGTCATGAAAAGTTCCTTGAAAACCTCAGGTCAAATGCTTTGAGTCTCACACATGGGATGAAAAAAATAAGCCCTGAGAAAGTGAAAAAATGGTTACACAGGCCCAGAAATGCAGACCAGAATCATGGAAATGTCAGAACCTATAAAATACAGTAAGCAAACTCAAGGAATTCATTTGTTTATTCAGGATTGGGCTCCTGTCCCACATAAAGAACAATCATCTCAAATACGATTAACAAATCTAATTTTTTCTGAATTGAATCTCTGACATTCTGAAATCATTTAAGCATCTAAATGAGAAAATGTGCTAAATAAGAATCACAAATATTAAAATGACGTATAACAAACAGCTCCACTTTCCTTTTACCTCACTAGTAACTTCAAGAGAAATGTGTGTCACCTTATTGCTGCTATATTTTACAGACTCTCTGGTTTTAATATTACAATTAATTCTAACACTGTTTTATGAACAGAATGATTAAAGAAATAAGAAAGACTATAAAGATCATGTCCTCTCTGTTCTATAATGAGCAAGCAAATAGCATGAGAGATAGAAGCAGTTCCTAATTTGGGTCATACCAATTAACTTTCCTATCAAAGTTTATTTTCTATTCTGTACAGAATATGAGTGACAAGTAGCTAAATACCATGTGTTCAATATAGGGAGAAATATCTTTCTCTTTCTTGTAGAATACTCAAATTGTAGCAATATTCAAAGGAAAAAACCATATTCCCTTTTGCAAAATCATCTTACATTTATATATGCCAAGGAAAAACATATTTGTTGTAGAATCCTACCTGTTGTATCAAGACCCCTAAGTTGCCCGTGAACTCGATGAATGTTTAACTTGGCTGCAATTTCTTTTCCTTTTTCTGCTCCAGCATTTGATCTGAGAGATCCAGATGACTGAGGTTGCATCTTTGTGGCGTGAACATACCTATCAAAATTTGATGTTCTACCAGGTTCTGCATTGTTTGAAGTCTCTTCAACCACACCTCTTTATGAAAAAAAAAAGAGAGTAAATGTTTAACATTTAAATAATACTGTTCAGAGAAAACATTTAGCTAAAAGGTTCGCTTTTTTTAAAAAAAAAAAACACTCTACTATTACCAATAGTAATACAAAATTCTTCAATGTTTACTAAAAGATATTATGAATAGAAACAGTAAAAAATTTTTAAAGACATACTTTACTAATCTATAAATTAATATTTGAAATTTCAAAACCAGTTTTGAGTTTTAACATTACATTCTTAGAAAAGTATTAAAAAGATGACCAAGGCTTGCTTTTACATCCAGCAAGATAATAAAATCTTTCTTACCTGTTCATACGAACTTGTGTAGCAATTCTGTCAAAACACAATGCCACTAGGGAAACATGAGTCACACTCCTACTAGGAGCTGTAGTTGGAGATTCTTCCACTGAGGCTTGTAACAAGCATAAGTTTACCTAACACACACACAGAATTTCAGAACTCACAAGTAAAAAGTTATTACAAACATAAAATATGCATAAAAATGAAAAACTACTGTTAAGAATGGAATACCTATGTATCTGTCAGTGAAGACGAAGTTTATGAATACAGATTCTCATAAAATAATCCTAATTAAATTTTTACTGTATGGATGTGGAACATTCTACTGTTACCTAATATTCTGCTTAACTAAACTATTTAGATTACATTAAATCTACATTAGATCACAGGAATAAAACATTTTTTAATATTATGCACTGTTCTACCATTATTCACGTTGGTAACTAAAAAGCACAAACACCATTAAAATGCTCTCCTCTTTCAGGAAAACAGTTTTAAATATTAAGTGGTTACCTTTGGTATGCTAACATTAGTCTGAAGTCCTTTAATTGTTACATTATCTTGCTTAATTGTAAGATTGTTCTGTGCTTGTCCTTGGTTAGTCGTTCCTATTGCAGGGTGCTCAGTTTTCGTTCCTCTAACATCTTGTTTGGAAGATAACTAAAAAGATCGTAAGTGAAATTATTTCAAAAGCTTTTCATAACTTCTGCATCATCCACAACAGCAACTCACTTATTCACTCTGCCCCTCTATGCCCATCTATGTGCCAGCTGTGTCCTAGTTTTACATCCCACCTTAAAATCCAAACCTTTGATCATCTAGGAAATAGACTGATAGCATCAGGGTTGAGAAAAGTAATACATATTAAAGTAAAATCAGCCTACAGAGAAAAAGAAAAAGTGATATAGTAATTATAGGCATTTTTTAAGATCACTAAACTCTACAGCAAACTTGGTTTCTGATAATTGGCCCGTTTTTGGCTAGGAATATTTTCAAATTTCTTTTTTTCACTCATCTACTCAATCACATGAAATGTCAATATATGTTAAACAAACAGTTCACTAAAATAATCAGTCTCACTTTTACCTCTCTCTGGTCCCTACTCCAAATATAATACAGATAAATTTGAACATCAAATGGAGAAGCTCTGGAAGAGCACTGGGATATGACTGCTAAGAAACTCGCCTCGTGGCTAGAACCACAATGGAAATAGACTATCACACAATGAGAGGTAGTGACTTGATTCACTGAAATGAACGAGGAAAATCTCAAAAGTAATATTAAGATACGAGTCATCTAATCATAGAGGAAAATCAAAACATAAGCAGCTGTCTTAGAAAAGCAAGGTGTCAGTCCAAAAGAATATTCATTCACTTAGGGCTAAAGCTCTTTAGAAAAGGCTTAGAACTAAGCTGCTTCTGAAATAAAAGAAACAAATAAAGCTATTTAATATATTTTTAAGTAAATGTTTTTACTACTGTTCAATCCACAGTACAGTTATATGTCCTATCTTTTATGGAGGCAATGACATCTAAAGTCTTTTAGAACATGTCCATACATTCTGATTTAACTTGTAACGAAAATTTTGATCCATTTGAGTTTTTCAAGTTTGAATATTCTATACACATGATAAATATTCAATTTGCTATGTGCAGTAAATTAAAAACTTCTTACATTTTCTGAGAAGGTAGTCTTGCTATTTTGGACTGCTTCCCTGAGAACTTTAGCATGAAGATCATCTACAATTGCAGCTGGATGTCGCGTACTAGCACAATGAACCATTGCTTCAATATATCTGAGGGAAAAAAACAGTAAATGAAATATTTAAATGTCACTAATCCTACAACTTAGCTTATGTAAACATATCATGAAAGGCAGAACCATTTGAATATGTACAACAATCGTTCAACATTGAAATGAGAACGTCTAAGCCACATATTTAGAAATTATACAAGGGAAACATTTCTGAGGTTATCCCTACCATTACCACCCTCACCCCAAGATGAAGTGTTCCAGATTGGGCAATGATCTCTCCTTTAACAAACTCCTGAAGAAGAATTCCTGTGTTTGTCATTTATACAATATCTCATAAGAATCTTAACAGTGTAAACTATCAAAGAAAACTATGTGCTTTTGCAGGAAAAGGAAGATTTTCATGAAAGCTCATTTCACTGAACCCCTTTTCTCTTCTCAACTGTTTCCACACCACTTGCATTATGTTTCATTCTCATTTTTATTCATGTTAGTTTCATATAATAATGTATATTATTGCAGTATAACAATAAATTTGAATATACAGTCAGTTCTCCATATCTGTGGGTTCCAAATCCACATATTTAATCAGGTGCAGACTGAAAATACAGTATTTGCAGGAGGTAGAACACACCAATGCAGAAGGCTGGCATTTTATCTGCGGGTTCCATAAGGCCAACTTGCAGGTTTGAGCAACTGTAGATTTTGGTATCCATAGGTGTCCTGGAACCAATATCCAACAGATATGGAGGAACGACTGTAATTATTTAGGCTGAGAAAGTAGCAAATGATAACTGACTGAAACATAGATATTTTCATTTTTATTCAATCAAAACAGCTATCAATCATCCTCTATATGAACATAATATATCACATATAACTGTAATTATCAATAATCTTCTATATGAACATACCATATTACATATACTCATCATATCACACAGAGTAACCACTGTATAAAGCAATAATTGTATTTTTAGACAAAATCAATACCTGTCTAAAGCTTCAGCCACCAGGGGAGTCAAAACGATATCAATAGTTCCTTTTACTTCAACTATGGCTGTTGTCCTGGTCTGGGACACTGGTTGATCCAGGGTCCACTCTTCTGTTAATGTTTCATCATCTGTGTTATCAGTGAGTTTTTTATCCAACGGAGTATATGGTGTACTATACAATTTAACAAACAAATCATATATTAAAAAGACCATGAATTAGAAGTTGGGGCTTCCTTAAGATAGTGAACAAATGTATTCATTATAACTAAAAATTTTATGGAATTGGACTTGCGTTTTTTTGAGTCTCACTCTGTCACCTAGGCTGGAGTGCAGTGGGTGCAATCTTGGCTCACTGCAACCTCCTCCTCCCAAGGAGCTGGGATTACAGGTGTGTGCCACCATGCCTGGCTAATTTTTTTTGTATTTTTAGTAGAGATGAGGTTTTGCCATGTTGGCCAGGCTGGTCTCAAATTCCTGGCCTCAACTGATCTGCAAGCCATGGCCTCCCAAGGTGCTGGGACTGCAGGTGTGAACCCCATCCTCGGCCTAGACTTGACATTTTATGTCCTAAAGACTTCAAAGACAGGCCAAAAGAAGTATTAAAATGCCAATTGATCAAAGATGGCTAATACATCAAATGAGAAAACTTTTTGATGTATTTACCTGACGCTCCTTTTCTAAATTATGAAAAACATGATACTGAATTCTTATTAGTCACCAATTTTGATATGCCAAGTTATAGCATGTTGAATACATATTATTCAAATGCTACTGACTACTTATAAATGTAGCCAAAACCATGGCAGACAAAGAGCTGAATTATTTTGGTAATTTATTCTTAATATAAAGTCCATACTCAAATAAAGTATGATTATTACTCAGAATAAACTCTACCCATCTCATAATCAAGGAAGAATACCTTTAAAAGTACGTTATTTTTACTTACTTTGAAGTTGATCCTGAAAGTTGCATGCCTCGGTCTAGCAAAGAATTAGCCGTGAGCCCCTGCTTGATTACCTAGAATATAAAATACTATAGTCTAGATTTTTAATATTTCTCTAATTTTATAATATCAACTGATATATGTAAATATCTGAATTACCTAATATGATTTTGTTATATTTGATATAAATGTTTAACAGACAAATTGAGCAAATCAAAGAATACATTCGATTGGCAGTTGCACTTTGTTGATTCAAACAAATGGCAGAGCAGGGTTGTGAGAGTAAAAGACTACAACTAAAACTTAAAAGCAAGTGTTTCAAATGTCTTTTCTCCACAGTTCCTTTTTAAATTGAGGTTTTTCTCAAGCTAATTTTAGTCTTCTCCTAGCACAAACAACTTTTAAGTGGGGAAAAAGAGCCACAGAAACATTAAACTATAGGAATAACTAGCCTTGTATTTTATATCCATAAATGATAACAAGGAAAAGGAAAATAAACAAATGAACCTAACCAAATTGAACCTTTATAAATGCTAGTCAGTATTTAGACTTAATGGAGAAAAATAACTTTCTTACCTCCCAGGTTACTCTTCCCACCCCACCCCAATTACCCCAGCCATTTTACTCTGATAACCATCATTCTACTCTCTCCATCTATAAGCCTGCTTAGATTCCACATGAGTGAAATCATGAGGTATTTGTCTTTTATTGCCTTATTTCACTTAACATAATGCCCTCCAGATTCATCCATATTATCACAAATGACAGGATTTCCTTCTTTTTTTATGGCTAAAGAGTATTCCATTGTGTATATCTGCCACATTTTCTTTATCTGTCCATTCACTGATGAACATTTAGGTTGATTCCATATATTAGCTATTTTGAATAGTGTTTTAATTAACATAGGAGTACAGACATCTCTTTAATAAACTGAATTAATTGCCTTTGAATATTATCCAGTAGTAGGATTGCTGGATCATATGGAAATCTATTTTTAATTTTTTTGAGGAATCTCCATACTATTCTTCATAATGGCTACACTAATTTAATTTACACTTCCACCAACAGTGCATAAGGATTCCCTTTTCTCTACATCCTCGCCAATACATGTTATTTTTTGTCTTTCTGATAACAGCCTATGTTCTATTTTTGAAGCTAAAGATATTAATTCCTTGACCTATCTTCTCTAGATTTGACTGCCTAATCAAACTAGAAAGATTTATTTAAAATACTGAAATAATTACATCCTCTCAGGTACTATTCTGCATAAGTATCATTCAGTTTTGAACTGGAAAATTCATATACCAACGTATTTCCACATGGAATAAAATGGACATTTTGAAACCTGAGCACAGGCAATTGGTTTTGGGCAAGATAAGAAAATAGCACAATCTTAAAAACAAAATGTTGTAACTGTCACTAATGTTTCTTTTTCCTTCAATGCATATTATTCAAGTGCCTACATAATCCATAAGAAAATTCAACTCCATGTATCATGTCTCATCATAACTAATAGTTTAAGTCCAAGCCCTGGTTGTTTTTTGCACAGACTACTGCAACAGTCTCCTAAGTGATCGTCCCAATTCCTCTCTTGCTTAATGACAATTCAATTCTACTTAGTATCAAAGTACATGAGATCATATCATATTTCCTTAAAACCCTGAAGAGTTAACAATGAAAATAAAATTCAAAATCCCGATGCCATGGTCTATAAGCTTTGAATGATCTGGTCGTTTTTTAGGTCTCCAGCCTCATTATGAGCAAGTCTCTCCCCACTCACTATTTCTCAGGTATGCTGACCTCGTACCCTCTTCAGGGCTGTAGGAAGGCGGTTGCCTCTGCCTGGAATGCAGTGCACCTAGGTCCTCCTATCTTCAATTCCTCCGCATACTTCAAATTTCAGTTTAAATATTATCTCATCAGATAGGCTTTTCATCTCAATACAATCTAGGTAGCCCTACCCCTTGTTATTTTCTAACCCAGCACCCCTTAGTTAATCATCATAGACTCTTCTCAATTTGTAATTGTATATTTATCTATCTATCTATTCTCAGTCTTCCACCTCTAAACCACAAGCTCCATATCCATTTCCCTCACCACTGTACATCAAATGCCCTGTACACAATAGTACATAATATCTGAATTAAGAATAATTAAATAAGCATTTAGACACTTCAAATAAGTATGGTATTTCATATTGGCTATAACCACTAAATTTATTTTGAGGTATTTTTAGTTTACCTAAAAAATTCTGTAATGCATTTTCAGAATACATTACAGAAATGCCCAATAATCATATTCATACTGAATTGTAAGAACTCAAATGTCAACTAAGTGGACAAGGAAGGCTTTGCATGGAAGGAGTTATGAATTAATAAAAAGAACATTAATAAAAGCAGCCTCAAAATTTTATTTTTAAGACACAGAAAATATTAATTCAGAGAGACTTGATCCTAATCTTAGAGTATAATTCAGACATAGAATATGTGTTGATTAGATTAAAGCAGTGGCAATCAACTCATAAACCACTCCTCAATTTAATTTACTTAAATTTCTAATATTCATCAATAACTTTGTGACCTGTCTGAAGACATAACGCCATGGCTTCAGAAAGTTTATCTCTGCAGAGAAGGCCTTTGACAAAATTCAACAGCCCTTTATGCTTAAAACACTCAATAAGCTAGGTATCGATGGAACGTATCTCAAAATAATAAAAGCTATTTATGACAAACCAACAGCCAATATCATACTGAATGGGCAAAAACTGGAAGCATTCCCCTTGAAATGTGGCACCAGACAAGGATGCTAGCTCTCACCACTGCTATTCAATATAGTATTAGAAGTTCTAGCCAGAGCAATCAGGCAAGAAAAAGAAATAAAGGGC